AAAGAAAGAAAGAAAGAAAGAAAGAAAGAAAAAGAAAGAAAGAAAGAAACCCTCCCCTTGCTGTTGAGGGCATATAATCAAGCATCTTAGATTTCCCTCTTTTCTTCCTTCTATCCAAGACCTATTTGCTCCTGGCTCTTTCTCTCCGTTTCTGCCTCAGAACATTTCCACGGGCAAAAGCCTGAAGGCCAAAGAAGTAGTGTTGCCTTTAGGGAAAAGGGAAAGTTTAGTGCAGCTAACATTTAGTGGGGAGGGAGGGAGGGAGGCACAAGCAAAGGGTGAAGTAGGTCCTGCAGGGCGTTGAGACCAGTTGGTTTGGCCCCTGGTATTAGGAATGTTGTCCAACCAAGGAGTTAATAACTTTAAATGCAGATAACTGTGGGAACTGTCAATTGGTTCAGTTTGCCAAACAGGATGTTACGGAAGCTAGCACCTAATAGAGCCTGCAGATACTATAGTCCTGATTACCAAGTAAAATACGCAGTACTTTGAGTACTTAATGTGTAAGTGAGCATTATCGTAACCATCCCCTAATGGTATCAAGCACGGTAAATACGCAGGAAGAAAAGGGTAAGCTGAGACTCTGTGTCCAGGGCTTACAGTTGTCGCTGATGTTGCAAACACGAACAGCATTCTTGAGCTGTAATCAATCGGGCGAGACAGAAGGAGATACAGGACTCTGGAGAAAAAATATTTTAAATTACATTTGGATTTTAATTTAGTGATCGGTTACCCAAACAACAGACCTTTTGCTGTCCATGGAAAAAGTTACCAGACATCCCAAACATGGGCCTGAAGGATTATGGGTCAAGAACATTTTTGCTTTTCCCCTGAATGGATGCTTGTGCTTTTCTTGAGTTGCAGGCATAGCTAAAGAAAATAAATACGATAAATGCCAGGCCCCAGTCTTCTCATCTATAAAACAGCCAATCTCTGGTAATTTAAATTCTATTTAAGAAATTAATACAAACTATAGCTGCAAAGTACATTGGATCCTACACATGGAAAATTCTATTTTAGTTCACAGGACCTTGTTAAGTGGCACAATTCAACCTCTAGACTCAGGCCTGACTGGCCCCCACCCAGAGAAGGGCAAGATGGATGGGGTGGGCAGGGTACCAGGCAAAGGAGAGGGTGGAGCTTTCAGTGGGAAATGGCAGGAAGCTACAAAATTAGTATGAAGTATCCCTTTGGGATCTCCTAGGGATTTTTTTTCTCTCTTTGAATCGTTTCTCTGTGAGGCTTTCCATCGTGGCTGGTTCAGTTAGACACGGCAGGATGAATCTACCTGTTGCTTAGACAAAGGTACCCCTGTGTTTCAAAGACTAAGCAAGGACAAGGTGGGGTCCACAGGAAAAGAGGACATAGAAGGGGTGGTAAGCCACCTCTGCCCAAACCAGGAGAAATTCTTCTCTTGGGTTTGCCTTTTCACATCCTCTCTATCAGATCCAGGGCGGACGCAGGGTGTAAGGCTTCGCAAGTGACTTGACCTACTTTTGGTCTAGACCAGGAATGGCAAAAAGCTGGCACGCATGTCACCACTCCCTCTCCTGTGCCTGTGCCAAGCATCATTAATGGATTACCATATCCTTTTAGATTTGGGCCCAGATATGGTCAGCAAGCCATGACCAATCAGATTTAGCATGTTAGATGAAACCAACGTGCCTTCCTTGGTCTCAGTCTTAGGTTAGAAGGGGAAAGGAATGCTGGTGGCCCATACCTGAACCAGCCCAGCTCACGTGGGGGACAGAATACATAAGGGTCTGGGGCCAGAGTCCTAGCCTAGCAAATAAGAATACTCCTTTGTTTGAGGTGCATTCTCTGCTAAAGAACCCTCAACGTCAGTAGGGACTCACTGAAGGTTCAGAAATTCTGGATCTTGGTTGTTTATTCCACTGGAGATAGTTGTACATATTCATGGCCATATATCAATGAAGTGATTCTTCTCAGAGACTCTGACCCAAATTATAGGAAGAAAAGTCTTTTCAAAACCAACCTCTGACAGATTTGTTTTAAGACTCCTACTGGGCAACAAGATACAGACACATCTAAGTAAAGAAAGAGTACCTTCGGAGTGCTTCATCTTCTTGAAGTTCAAATAATTCTGACGGTTTCTTGAAAAAGTGAAAAACAAATTCAAAAAACTAAAAGTTTGTGGACTATAGAAGCTAACACAACCTATTAGGTGAAAAACCCAATACACAGAATTGTTTACATAGAAGACATTAGAGTGTAACCCATTACTTTATGAAAAAACTTTTCCTTTCAAAATTAGTTTCCTCACATTATTCAGTCAACAAATATTTACTGAGCACTTACTATGTGCCAGGCACAATCCCAGGCTCGTGGGTTGCCTGAGTGAATGAAACAGATGTTCCTGTCCTCCTGGCATTTACAGTCACTGGATAATTTTTAAAAGGAAAGGACTCCATGGATTTTAAATGAGTCCTTGAGTAATTCAGTACAGATTTACTGGGACTTACAAAGCAATGTGCAAGGTGCTATGGACAGTCCCAGTTCCTGGCTTCAGGGTGCTTTTGTTCAGTTCCTCGAATTTATGTATAAGTTAAAACACATCGGTTTCTGAGTCAACCACAGATTCTATGAGGCCTAGATATGCTTCCGTTTCCATTGAAGCACAGTTCTTGTTCTTTGCAAACATTTAATAAATACTTGCTAAATTGGATGCTAAGGGATATAAAAAATAATTAAAAACCTAATGTCATTTCAGTTATAGTATTTGTTGACACATACATTTTTTTTCAAGCATATCTGCCTACGTGGATAGAGGAAGGCTCCCTAATTGAGTTCTGCCTGAAAACGCAGAAGTACTGCAGAAAATTCTGTGTTGGGATTGCTGAATCCCAGCATAAATGTCAGTGATACTGCTTCTAACACTATATGCCTCCTGATGTGATACACTGAAAAAAAAACACATTAACTATATGGTATCCTTGCCCAAAACACATAACCTGAATCTAATCATGAGAAACATCACAAGGAGACATTTTGCAAACCAACTGGCTGGCCCCCTTTAAAAACACCAATATCCCATCACAGTAAAATAGACTAGAGTAAGAATCATCAATAGATGCTAAATTGGATTATGTGTCGTAGGGAAAGGAGTTTGAGGAGGAACAAGTTATTAAACTGTCTCAAAACACCTCCCCTAATAGTTACAAAAGGAAATACAGTAACTATGTAATATGGACACTGACAACATCTTAACCAGGTTATTTAAACTCACATCACCTATTCTGGCAAACGGACATCAGACATCACGTGCCTCCAAATGTCATACCCTGAGAAGCACACGATATCACTTAAGTAGGATTCTGGCCCAAAATGCATCATTAGAATCTTATCATGAGGAAATATCAGACAAACACAAATTGAAGGATAGCTTCTAAAACAAATGGTCTGTATGCTCCAAGAATATCAGGGGTGCCTGGGTGGCTCACTGGGTTAACCGTCTGACTTCAGCTCAGGTCATGATCTGTTTGTGGGTTTGAGTCCTGCATCGGGCTCTGTGCTGACAGTTCAGAGCCTGGAGCCTGCTTCAGATTCTGTGTCTCCCCTCCTCTCTGCCTCTCCCCAGCTCTCTGTGTCTCTCTCTCAAAAGTAAATAAACATTAAAAAAAAAATTTTTTTTTTTTTAAAGTCAGGTGTCATGAAAGACAAGGAAAAGCTATGGAACTATTCTAGATTAAAAGAGATTAAAGATGGGGCATCTGGGTGGCTCAGTTGTTTGAGCGTCTGACTTTGGCTCAGGTCATGATCTCATGGTTTGTGAGTTCCAGCCCTGTGTCGGGCTCTGTGCTGACAGCTCAGAGCCTGGAGCCTGCTTCAGATTCTGTGTCTCCCTCTCTCTGCCCCTCCCCCACTCATGCTCTGTCTCACTGTCAAAAATACATAAACATCAAAAAAAATTTTTAAATAAATAAATAAAAGAGATTAAAGATATGACAAATACATGCAATGTATATAGTCTTAGACTAGACCCTGGTCCAGGGGGAGAAAGTTCCTTAAAAGAGCACTATTGGGCCAATTCATTAAATTATAATGTGGACCACAGATTCAAGCCTATGTTTGTACTGTATCAATAGTGTACCAATTTAAAATGATCTAATTTTGATAATTATACTGTGGTGAAGTAAGAGAAAAGCCTTGTTCTTAGGATATACAGACTTGTTAAGAGGTGAAAGGGGATGCCACATACCATTAATTCTCAGACGGTCCAGAAAAATACCATAAATATATATATTATAGGGCAAAGCAAATATGGCAAAATGTTAAACATCAACAGAGTTGGGTGAAGGGTGTACAGGAATTCATTCACACTACTGCAACTTTTCTGTATGTTTAAAATTATTTCAAAATAAAATTATCACATGAATCTAAGAAAAATAAAAAGTTAATCACATGAATCTAAGCACAGACCACTTCTTTTATACAAGAGTTCATCTGAAATCACCAATTAAAAGGTAAAATAGTGGCAAAACAATATTTAAATAGAAAGAAAAAGGAAATAACCTCATGAAGACTCATCTGATAACAGAAGGTATTAAAAGCAGCAAACATTCCTTGTGTTAAGTCTGAGCTCCTAATCCGAAGGTTCTATCAATGCAGAGCCAACAGAAAGGACAAGAGAACCTCTCAGAGGACGGACTGACCTCACCAGGTTTTGTGGACGGGCACAGCCACTTCTCCAACAACATGTCCCAGACTTTCTCCAAATTAATTTCGTTAACTTCGGCAATTTCTTTGGCAGCTGCGTGAATATCTAAGATATTCAAAATAGAGTTGAAAAAAAGAGAAACCCAAGTTTTCAGTGCAAGATAACTGGGAATCAAAATGACAGTTCTTCCTGAGCAGAAAGATAAATGGTGCTTTGTCCTCACCGGGATATTCTTTGCTGGAGGAATTCTGAATTCTCTGACTTATGCTAGGATGCTCGTACAGACTGACGATGAGATGTGCAGGCTTTCCTATCACTCTTAGATATTCCGCGGTGTTGAGCTTGTGGGCTATGAGCACGGCTTCAGTGCCTGATCGCCGGTACTGAATATGAAGCTTCTTCAACAAAGCCTCTGCTTTTTCACGTGTTTCATCCTTAAAAAAAAAAAAAATCCCAAGCAGGGATTCCAAGAAAAGGTCACATTCTAAAACCTCAGGTGAGGCGAAGAATCATCTTTATCAATCAAGGTCCCTCCCTGCCTTAGTTACATCCTTACATAGCTACTCAAATTCTCATCTTCTTTATCCATTTTAGGCATCCAACCCTTAAAGATGCCATCAGCAGGGCGGGATGAGAAGGTGGGCCAGGGAGCACACTATGTAAATGAAAAGAGAGGAGCCTTCCATTGTACAGTTCAGACTCACCTGACATGGGATATTCTGTAGCCATCTCTCAGCTAAATACAGGCAGAATTTCAAGCTGGACATCTTGAAAGAACCTGAACAGATAAAAAAGAGATTTATAAACAAATCATAATCCTTTTAAGATAAATGTATTTTAATCAAATTATCAAGGTTTTTTTTTTTTAATACAAGAATGCATACTCAGAGAAAAAACATAATTTAAACAGAAGGATACAAAGTAAAAAGTAAAAGTCCAAAGGCTCCTCTTCAGCTTCTATTCCTTCAGAAGTTTCCCGTGTGTGTCTGTGTGTACACGCACACATTTTAACCCCAACAGGCTAAGATCATACATGTGGTATTGTCCACTGTTCTGACTTAATATACACCTTGGGTATCTTTCCAAATCAACTATATAGTATTCTATTCTATGCATATGCTCTATTTTTAAAAACAAATTCCTGACAAATGAGCATTTTAAAAAAACAGTTATTTTTTAGGGGTGACTGCGTGGCTCAGTTGGTTAAGCATCCAACCTCAGCTCAGGTCATGATCTCAGGGTTCGTGGTTTCAAGCCCTACGTTGGGCTTTGTGTTGACAGCTCAGAGCCTAGAGCCTGGAGCCTGCTTCAGATTCTGTGTCTCCCTCTCTCTCTCTCTGCCCCTCCCCTGCTTGTGCTCTGTGTCAAAAATAAATAAATATTAAAAAAATAACTAAAAAGTAGTTATTTTTGACTTCTGTTACAACTAAAAACATGGCAGTAAGTGCCTGTGTTTGTGTGCTTATTTGCTTATGCAAGAACATGTAAGGATTCATTACTAGAAGCAGGAGTACCTGTTAGGAAGCAATTTCTATTCCTACAGACAAGATAGAGAACACCCACATCCCTGCACCCTGATAAGCTGCAAGGAGCCTTGCTGACTTCACTGGAGCCTTTCAACGTTCAGCAAATTTTAATCATTTCAGCAATGCACCAAGTGAAGAGAAAGGGCACATAACATTTTTAACTACCATCAATAGTTTTAAATGCCTCTTCTCAAAGATAGGTAAGGAGTAAATTTTTTTATTGCAAGTTCAAAATAAGCCGACAATTTCGAGCCCACTTAGAGGAAGAATCCATACCTTCTGGGATATCCTGGGCAAGACTGATGCCAATAGCTACAGCCCACTCTGGGTTAACTATAGACAATAAGTAGGACTCGATGGTTTGAGTGATCTTAGTTATTTCCTTGTTAATCAGTGTTGAGGATTTAGCTTGTGTTAACTTCAGAAGCTTTGGCTTCAGTTTTTTTTCAAAAACATGTTTGGCTGTAGACACATACAGAGTGTCCAAAGAGAACTTCAAAGAGAGGAAAAGAAAAGTTAAGGCTGGGGGCACCTGGGTGGCTCAGTCGGTTAAACATCGGACTGATTTTGGTTCAGATCATGATCTCATGGTCGTGAGATCAAGCCCTGCAAAGGGCTCTTTGCTAGGAGTGCAGAGCCTGCTTGGGATTCTCTCCCTCTCTGCCCCTCCCCTGCCCCCAAATAAATAAACATTAAAAAATATATACTTAAAAGAAAAAACCTGAGGTTGATTTACATGCTCGCCTTTAAGGGTTTTACATAAAAGTAGTACAAAATCCTTCTACAAAGGGTCTGAGTTAACTAGAGGGTATAAAGGTATGTTTGACCAAGTCTCAACCCATTACCTTCATTAATTTACAAATTAGGAGCAGTGTTGGGAAAGATTCTTCACTGAGTTCTGTAGCTAAAAAAGAAACAAGAAGATTATGATTTGCTTAAGAAAACAAATTTGGGCTATTCAGTAAAATTTGTAAGAAGTTAAGGAACATACAGAGAATTTTCCAGAAGTTCTGTGCTGTGCCAAAGAATATTAGGTGAAAAGGCAGTCTAGTTTGGGCAGCTGATGGCAAACTTATCACATGCTCCAACATATACTGATATTCTAGGTCCACCGGAGGAGATATTCTTCTGTATGATTTCAAATGTTTCAGAAGACTCAATGCCTATATTAAAATATAAATGTATTTTCTTGTGAGCTTAAACCAATCCTGTTTCTTAACTCTCTAACTTGATCGTGTCATAGAATTCCATTCCTGAGATGGTCTTGTTTTCATTAAGAGAACCAAAACCTTTTGTAGTTTTACCTCTAAGATTATCCTTCTAAACCACAATTTATATGATGATTAAAGAAATTATACTCAGAGAAACTAATGGAATCCTGTTATTGGTGGGATTTTTGTAAGTGAGTCTGAAAGTTCCTCATAACTTCTTCAAACAGTCTGAGGGAGACCTCAAAAATACTGGATTTCATTTTAAAAAGGTAGGAAGGAGGTCTAAAATTAATCCTCTATACCCTTACATCTCTTTAGGCTTATATCTGATATTTTGGGTGCTTGTATAATTTTTTGAATCAACCCATTTTCTTTTAATGTTTAAATCCATTTTAAAAAGATACAAAAGGTACTATGACCAAAATTCATAAAAGACTAAGAAGTTCCTGAAAGTAATAGAATTGAGTCAGTCCTACCTACTAATATAGAAAGTGGAATCTAACTCTGGGTCCCACATACTACTTCTTCTTCTTCTTCTTCTTCTTTTTTTTTTTTTTTTTTTGTTGTTGTTGAATCACAAAAATTTTGCTTTAATTCTTCTAAATTAGTCCTTTAGTGACTTCATGATCTTAGACAAATTTAAACTGCCTCAGTAAAGCCAAAATAGGATTAAGATAAACAATAAAATATGAAGAGCATGAGAAGTATTTATTTACAGAAAGCATGAGTGGCAGAGGGGCAGAGAGAGAGGGAGACAGAGAATCCAAAGCAGGTTCTAGTCAGTGCCAAACCCCATGCTGGGCCTTGAACCCACAAACTGTGAGATCATAACCTGGGCCAAAGTCAAACACTTAACTGGCTGAGCCACCCAGGCACCCTGAGCGTGACAAGTCTTTTTACTTCTGTATCCCTTTTAAAGAACCAGGGGCACCTGAGTGGCTCAGTCAGTTAAGTGTCCGACTCTTGATTCTGGCTTAGGTCATGATCTCACAGTTTGTGAGATTAAGCCCCGAGGAGGGCTCTCTGCTGACAGTGCAGAGCCTGCTTGGAATTGTCTCTCCCTCTGCCCCTTCCCCACTCACACGCGCGTGCGCACACACACTCTCTCTCAAAACATTTTTTAAAATCTTAAAAAAAAAAAAAGAATAAAAAAAATAAAGAGGAACCAAACGAAAAATGAAGCTCAAAGGACAGTCCAGAAAGGTCCTATAGGACCACAATTTTGTTAAATGATCCAAAAAGAAGCAAAAATATAATTCTAAAATCTACGATACATTAGTTATACCTGATTGATATTAATGTTGGTTATCTTTTCATCAGCTCTTTCTATAACCTTCAGGACCACTTCAATCATTTCATAGCTGTAGGGATCCAACTGTATAAAAGTAAAAATATGTCAAAACTTAAGATGGTCAGGTTTTATTATGGTCATCAGTACAGATCAAAAATGTAAAATGTCAGTGTGCCATAGTGTTAGATAATTCTTCTACAAATGAACTGAAATGCTCTTATCTCTAAAATTAGTTGTATCAGGATAAATAAACCTTAAAATGTCTCAGAAGTGATTTTAAAAAGAAAGCTGTTCCTAGGATACTAAAAATCTAGAAAGAATAAATATGTCAAGACTTCATAATTTTGTAAGATCTTTAAATGAAAATTCTATGTCTTCCATTTAAGATGGGAAAAGTACAATAGGAGGAAATGGACGTTTTCTTGAAAATTATGTAACTAAAAGTGTGGGCCTCCAAGCAAAAGTTTCTCCAAGTATTCCATTCTGGCTCTAACCACATACTAAAATGCAAAAATTAATTGGGTGGCATCTATATATGTTCATGAAAAGAAAGGAAGTATTCTCTTTGTTCTTTGTTTCTGCCCACACACCATTACTTTTTTTTCATTTCTTAAATGCCAACTCAAGTCACATGAATAACAACACTGAACTAAGTGGGAAGATGATTTCCGTAGTACCTAGAACTTTTGTGAAAGTCTTTATTAATTTTGGCTGAATTTCAGGAAATACTGAAGTATTTCTTGTAGTCTTACAATCTTCCTTGCCCTTCAATCCACCTTTACTCCCCCAACAAACTACTCCTTGACTTAAAAGTTTCAATTCTCAGGAAGATGTCCTAAGAAAATAATCAGACTAGAGGCCAAATAGGTATATGTATGTATGGAGATATTCATTGTAGCAGTATTTAATAGTAAAATATACAAATAATTTAAGTGTCCATCCCTAAAGGCTTGGTTACAGTATGTTTATCCACACAGTGGAGTAATATGTACCTGTCAAAAATGAGATAGATGTATGTTATTGACACATAATGACAATATGTTCAGTGAAAAAAAGGAGAATAACAGAATAGAATATTTAGTCTAAATCAGTCACCAAACTACTAACTTTTTTATCTATGGGAATGGGGTTATAGAGATTTTACTTTTTGATTAATACTTCTCTCTAGTTTGATCTTTTTCAAAGAATGTGTGCTATTTTCAAAAATCTGAAAAAAAATGCTATTTCTATTTTCAGGGAAAAAGGGAGGAAAACTACTACATTAAGCTATATTAAAAAGGTAGAAATCTAAAATTACCAAAATTATAAGTTTATAAAAAATACAGGACTTACTTTTCCAGCTTGTTACTCTATGTACCTAAATTAACTAAGGGTAGGAGGGATGTTTGAAGTGACCCGATACATTCAGTTCCCCATTCATCTACCTTATGCAGTATTCCACTAAGACTGATGACCAGATCTTTTGTGCTCGTCAGTAGAGGAACCATTTCCAGGGCTTTGGCCAGGAGTTTGGGGTGCTGCTGCTTTGCAGACTGTGTGCTCAGGTCTCCCTGGCCTTGGCTGGCATTGGTGTTGTGTAGCAGTGTTTCGATGAATAGCTGAAGAGCTGCATCACAGTCCAACTGAAATGTGCTAAAAGAAGTATTCAAATACAGGCTAACTTCTCTCCATGCATGTGTTTCCATACAATTTCTCACTGACACACTCCCATCGAACCCTCTCATTGTCCAGCCTCATTATCAGATCACATACACATCATCAAGAGTTAACTGCTGTCTTTAATAAATCAGATCTTGGGGGGCACCTGGGTGGCTTAGCCGGTTAAAGCGTAGGACTCCTGGTTTCAGTTCAGGTCATGATCTTGCAGTTCATGGGTTCCAGCCCTGCATCAGGCTCCATGCTGGCAGTGTGGACTGCTTGGGATTCTCACTCTCTCCCTCTCTCAAAAACTAAATACACTTTAAAAAACCCAGATCTTGGGGCCCTTTGGGTAGCTCAGTTGGTTAAGCACCTGACTTTAGCTCAGGTCATGATCTCATTGTTGGTGGATTCAAGTCCCATGTTGGGTTCTGTGCTGTTAGTGCAGAGCCTGCTTCAGTTCCTCTGTCTCCCTCTCTGTCTGCCCCTCCCCCACTCACACACGCTCTCAAAAATAAACACTAAAAAATTTAAATAAATAAATAAATAAATCATCAGATCTTGGGGTGCTTGGGTGGCTCAGTCAGTTAAGTATCTGACTCTTGATCTCAGCTCAGGTCATGATCTCACAGCTCACCAGATAGAGCCCCACGTTGGACTCTGCACTGACACCATGGGGCCTGCCTGGAATTCTCTCTCCTCTCTCTCTCTGTCCCTCTCTGCTTGCACTCTGTCTCTCAAAATAAAAATAAAATAAACTTAAAAAAAAATCATGGCCATATAATGGCATAATACTGGGGATAAATTTGTAATAAAATTGAAAATATTTAATAGGGCAATTCCACTTTCACACCCTTCACAAAAAATAGCCAAGATACACATACAAGGATGTCTGCTGCAACAACTGTTTGTAATATTTAAAAACTGAGAGCAATTCAATTATCCATTGAAAAGGGGCTAAATAAGTTATTCATACAAAGGAATACCAGAGTTCAAGAGATACAAAGAAAAGCTATATGTACCAATCTTATAAATATACTGTTAAGTGAATGATGCATGTTATAAAATAGTTTGTAAAATATGATTCTGTTTGTGATAAACTTAAAGAATGCATGTTTTTATATGCACAGGGGAAATAAAGGAACAATATAGGCGAAATTCTTTAAACGGTGATTATTCCTGAATGGTAAGATTATATGGAACTTTGATTTTAATATGTTCTATCTTATTAGAAAAATAATAAAGATTTAAAAAATAAGAATGAAATGGAGCTATTATGTGTATTGTGCTAAGTGAAATAATTCAGAGAAAGACAAATACCATATGATTTAACTCATGTGGAATTTAAGAAACAAAACAGATGAACATATGGGAGGAGGAGAAAAGAGAGAGGGAAACAAACCATGAGAGACTCTTAAAGATAGAGAACAAACGGCTGATGGAGAGATGTGAGTGGGAGATGGGCTAGATGGGTGATGGATATTAAGGAGGGCACTTGCTGGGGTACCTGGGTGGCTCAGTTGGTTAAGCGTCTGACTTTGGCTCAGGTCACGATCTCATAGTTAGAGTTTGAGCCCCGCGTCGGGCTCTGTGCTGACAGCTCAAAGCCTGGAGCCTGCTTTGGATTCTGTCTCCCTCTCTCTGCCCCTCCCCACTTGCACTCTGTCTCAAATAAATGTTAAAAAATATTAAAACAGGGGCATCTGGGTGGCTCAGTCAGTTAAGCGTCCAACTTCGGCTCAGGTCATGATCTCAAGGTTCTTGAGTTCGAGCCCTGCATCGGGCTCTGTGCTGACAGCTCAGAGCCTGGAGTCTGCTTCAGATTCTGTGATTCCCTCTCTCTCTGCCCCTCACCTGCTCATGCTCTGTCTCTGTCTCTCTCTCTCTCAAAAATAAATAAACATTAAAAAAAAAATTAAAACAAATATAAAGGAGGGCACTTGTTATGATGAGCACTGTGCGTTGTATGTAAGTGATGAATCACTGAATTCTACTTCTGAAACCAATATTGCACTGTATGTTAACTAGAATTTAAATAAAAATTTGAAAAAAATGAAGAATGAAATTATAGACAATTGAAATGCCTTAAGCCCTATTAAGATGATAGCTTAATTTGCTACACAGAATAACAAATATCAAGAAAAGCTTTAAGTAGGACCATTAAAAATTTTTTTTTGTTTATTTGTTTTTGAGAGAGAGCATGAGTGGGGTAGAGACAGTATTTTAAAACCAGTCACTTATTATTTGACCTTAAGTGGGTCACTGAATATGGGTTTGTTTTCTCATATATAAATTGGTGCTAATATGCAATAAAAATGTAAAAATTAAATGATGGTGCATGAAAGCACTTTGAAACTAATAAAGTGACAACAAACTGGTCATCCTATTTATTACATAAACGTCTGAGATATTATTTACTCCTACTTATCACAATAACTTATCTATAAACATTTAGTTTTAGTTTTATTTTATTTACTTGTTATTTAAAAAAATTCTCCCTAAATCATATTAAAAAAATTTTTTTTAATGTTTATTTATTTTTGAGAGAGACAGAGCACAAGCAGGGGAGGAGCAGAGAGAGAGAGAGAGACAGACAGACAGACAGACAGAGACACAAAATCCAAAGCAGGCTCCAAGCTCTAGCTGTCAGCCAGAGCCCAATGCAGGGCTGAAACCCATGAACCGTGAGATCATGACCTGAGCAGAAGTCAGATGCTTAACTGACTGAGCCACCCAGGTGCGCACCCCCACACTTTTCTTTCAATAAGAAACCTCATTATCCTTTTTTTTTTTTTTTTAATTTAAGAGTTTATTTATAAGGGCGCCTGGGTGGCTCAGTCAGTTAAGCATCTGACTCTTGATTTCGGCTCAGGTCATGATCTCACGGTTTGTGAGTTCAAGCCCCACATTGGGCTCTGCACGGACAGTGTTAAGCCTGCTTGATTCTCTCTCTCCTTCTCTCTCTGCCCCCACCTTACTCTGTCTCAAAATAAATAAACTGTTTTTAAGTTTATTTATTTTCAGAGAGGAAGAGAGAAAAGTGGAGAAGGGACAGAGAGACAGAGAAAGAGAGAGAGAGAGAGAGAGAGAGAGAGAGAGAGAGAGAGAGAATCCCAAGCAGGCTCTGCACCACTAGTGTGAGGCTTGAACTCAAGAATCGCAAGATCATGACCTGAGCTGAACTTGGATGCTTAACTGACTGAGCCACCCAGGTGCCTCTAAATCATACTTTTCATTACATCTTTTTTTTTTCTCTCCATTATATCTTCATTTAAGATTACTTTGCCCCTATGTTGATCTGATTTAGAAGTTCAATTGCTCATAACAATACTCCCAAACTTTCCTATCATGGGAATCATCTGGAACTCCTATTACGGATCAGAGTTTGGGGCTTGGCCCAGATCTGCTGAGTCAGAACCAGAAGGGGCCCAAGAATCTTTATTTTTAATCAGGAGCCCCAGGTGATGTTCAACATGAGGCAAGTCTGGGAAACACTTAACCATGAATTTAAAAGGTAATAACCTAAGAGAATTTAATCTGGTTTTGGATTCACTTAGTTTGGAGATAAAAAAAAAAAAAAAACATCCACAGTCCATAGACTGCATGGAATAATCATCTTTATTACTGTGTTCTTGCAGTAAGGAGTATCAGTTTGTTAACCTAATAGTAAAAATACCACTAAAGTTTAAAGAGTTACCAGCAATATTCCAGAATGAGGCTTGTGTCCATATCTATATTCTCCACAAGAGCTTTAATGAGGTCTTTCTTGGTGAGAAAATGTTGCCTGAAAACCGGCTGGAAAGAAATCTAGAAATAAAAAGAGCAAAACAAAAACCCCAATAAAGTGAAAGGTATTAGAATAAGGACACCATGGTGATTTGCCTTTTTATTGTCCTTTTTTATAGAGTAACATTTTTCTAGACTCCTCTAACCCTTTTTTATCCCCCTACCCAACTTGACCATCATTCTGAGATTTCAGATATATTTGGCTATGGGCCCCAAATCTCTTAATCAAGTTACCCTTCGGTTCTTCATCAATTAGTTGTTAGCAATAACCAGTCCCATTTCTACATTTGAACTAGGCTTCAAAACACATATCCTTTCTGTAGTGATCACATTCCTGATAAGCCTATTTGCGAGTAACATAAAATGTTTTTTTTTTTTTTTAATTTTTATTTATTATTTTTGAGACAAAGAGAGACAGAGCATGAATGGGGGAGGGTCAGAGCGAGGGAGACACAGAATCTGAAATAGGCTCCAGGCTCTGAGCTGTCAGCACAGAGCCCGATGCGGGGCTCGAACTCACGGACCGCGAGATCACGACCTGAGCCGAAGTCGGCCGCTTAACCGACTGAGCCACCCAGGCGCTCCAAAATGTTTTAAAGACATAGCGTCAAGAACACAGTTCTGTTTGTATTTACAAAGTGAAAAATGACTTTTCCCTAGGAGTTCATAAACTTCAGTATACCTGTGTACACACTGATGTTATCTTTTTAATTTTTAAATTTACTTATTTTGAGAGAGAGTGAGCAAGAGAGAGAGCACACAAGCAGGGAGGGAGCAGAGACGGAGGGAGAGAATCTCAAGCATGCTCTGCACTGTCAGTGCAAAGCCTGATGAAGGGCTCGAACTAACAAACCATGAGATCATGACCTGAGCCAAAGTCAGATGCTTAACCGACTGAGCCACCCAGGCACCTTCACGTTGACTTATCTTCCACCAAACAGCAACAGAAAAGTATGAGGCTAAAGGCTAGGTCTGAAACAGCTTATATGTTAATTAATCCTAGATATAGTTCTATCAGTGAAAAAGCTAAGTAGAAAAAAAATGTCAAGCCTCAGGGGTGCATCTGGGTAGCTCAGTCAGTTAAGTGTCCAACTCTTGATTTCGGCTCCGGTCATGATCTCACGGTTCATGGTTCCAGTCCCACACCTTTCAGTGCAGAACCTGCTTGGCATTCTCTCTCCCTCTCTCTGTTTGGGATTCTCTCTCCTTCCCTCTCTGTCCCTGCTCTGCTCTCTCGAGTGCATTCTCTCTCAAAAATAAACATTAAAAAAAAGTCAAGGGCACCTGGGTGGCTCAGTCAGTTAAGTGTCCGACTTTGGCTCAGATCATAATTTCACAGTTCGTGAGTCTGAGCCCTGCATCGGGCTCTGTGCTGACAGCTCAGATCCTGGAGCCTGCTTTGGATTCTGTCTCCCTCTCTCTCATCCCCTCCACCACTCACATTCTGTCTCTCTCTCTCAAAAATAAACAGACGTTAAAAAAAAGTTAAGCCTCTTCTAAATTTTCTTAAAAATACAGAAAAGAGGAAATGAAGCAAATGGTCCTTATTTGTTTGAAAACACTAATGTGTATATTTAATATAACTAAAATTTATGAGTCTACAACATACATCCTCTCCCCAAAGAAGAAGACTTTAAGATTTCCTGGGGAAATCATCAGAATGGATCAAATTTGATGGTACTCACACCAAGAATACTCACACCAAGTTTGCCAAGACGAATACCCCACTGAGCATCAGTACTGAGTTCACGGAACTTAAGCTCTGTTTCTATTTCCTGATAGAGGCTGGCCAGCTGAGAGCCCACCAGAGATATTGCCTAAAAAATTAAAATAGAATTAAAATTCAATCACAATAGAATATGTTCTAACACCTTTTGGATGAAACCCAACAACAAAAATCATAACCTTTCTTTGTGATAACAGTGTGGAATATTACATATTGCTTCATACACACAGTCATTATTGATATAATAGGTCATTCAGCTTTTATTATGATGCCATAAATGTAGTCTGGCTTTCCTTCAAAGAAAAGGCCAAATTTTGGTTATCCTGAAAATAAAATCCCCACAAAAGGCAAATTTAAAAAAAAATTTTTTTTTTTATGTTTATTTTTTTTTGAGACAGAGAGAGACAGAGCATGAACGGGGAAGGGGCAGAGAGAGAGGGAGACACAGAATCGGAAACAGGCTCTAGGCTCTGAGCCATCAGCCCAGAGCCTGACGCGGGGCTCGAACTCACGGACTGCGAGATCGTGACCTGAGCTGAAGTCGGCCGCCCAACTGACTGAGCCACCCAGGTGCCCCAAAAGGCAAATTTTAAAACAAACATCAAAGAGAAATTCTGCATCTGCTAACCTTGTCCAACAAAAAAGACCTGGTTCGTGGGTCTAAGGTTTCAAATACACTTCAGATATAGTAAATGTAAGAAGTGAAGGTCTATGGCGACATACAGATTTAAGAAATAAAAAATACCCTAATTCTTTGGGTTGAGCAGTGCTTATGACCTGCATATACACTCATGGTGTGTCAGTAGTCAAGGAAAAGCTGTTAGAAAACAAGAGAGTTGGCTCCACATTTCTTCTGCTAAATCATTAAGTGGCAAAGCCAACTTCATTTTTTCCCCTAAATCTCTTCATACTTTAAGAAATGAAGCTGTGCTTGCTCAGGCCATACCAAAATTTTGTCGTAGTTCTGCCACGCTTTATCTATGAGCTTCCAGAGATTTTCAAACACTTCTTTTTGGGGTAACAGAGTGCAGTAACCCAATGCCAAGTCAAGATCCACCAGGCGACAATTAAATACCTATTGGAAGAAAGCATCAAGAGAACATTCTTTACAATCAAAATAGAATTTGGTCTCTGAATGCTTATTTGTTACGAAATTTAATTATAACCCCTAAGAAAGAATAAGTGTTTCGTGAAAAGTGATGTAGAGTAACTTGGTTCCAACTTGTCTGCTTAGTTTTAACATCCTTTATCATTACCATAAACTTAAGGAAACAACTTGGACAGGTTGTATATAGCACAGAACCCTTACCTTCTTCTCCCTGACAATCTCATCACTTCTCTTTAAGCCCCAATATGCCCTCCCCATCCTCATTCTTATCCTGAGATATCAGAAGCAACTAGGAGAGAGAAAAGGAAAAGAGAGAGAGAGAGAGAAAGAGAAAGCAGCTTACCAAGAACGGATACTCACTTTGTGCAACAGTGTTGTAGCGTTTCCCCTGATAAATTTAACAGCTTTCTCTTTCAGTTCCATAACAACATGCCTTGATTTAACTAATGTGGCCTCTCCAAACAACTTTTAGAAAAGAACAAAAGAATTGTTAGGTCTACTTCTATCTATGTGTCATTTTGAAAACTCTTCTTAAATATTAAGGAACTTGAAAATTCATCATTATATGCAAAATGTGCTGGCATTTAATCTATGATGACAGAATGCTGCAGCTAAGGGGGGAACTGACTGGGAAGGCACAAAAAGGAACCTTTTCAAATATTCTATACCTTGATTGTGCTGTTGGTGACATGGTGAATACACTGTTGACAGACTTAAAATGTGCAATTTTGAAAGCAATACTTTACTTAAAGTTAATTTTGGGGCACCTGGGTGGCTTAGTTGGTTAAGCATCTAACTCTTAAATTCAGCTCAGATCAGGGTCATGGGATTGAGCTCCACACCAGGTTCCGTGCTGAATGCGGAGCCTGCTTAAGATTCTTTCTCTCTCCCTCTCTCTGTCCCTCCCTCCACACTTGCACACTCCCTCTCTTTCAAAAAAAAAATGTATACATATATATAAAAAGATAAAGTTAATTTTGTAAAAAATTGTTATTTAACAAATATAAACAGAATAGTAGAAGTGATGCAATTCTCTCTGTGATTAGCTTCATAAGCAAGTTATCAACAGGTACTTTGTCTTCTAGAATCTTTTCAATGATGCTGTCAGGTAATAATTATAATAATTTAGGCTACAGTAATACAAACAACAGATAGAGTTTTGACCTAATGTGTTCACTGGGTTGGGAGTAAAAAGACATATCACTGCAATTTAAAACCTCAACTGAATGATTTCACCTCCCTCAGTCTGCTTCCTCATTTGCAAAATGGAGACCCTCAGGGCTGTTGTCAAGACTGAATATGAAAAGTATGCAAGTACCTTGAACCACACCTGAATCTCAGATGCTCAACACATGTTTCCTAAATCTGACAAATTATCAATTTCCTTGTTCCAGAGCCAAATGAGAAAATGTGGACTCCAAATCCGTTTGTTTGGTGGTGTATTTGTATCTATATTCCTCCAAAGTGAAAGCATTTGTTCTCAGAACTATACCTTTCCACTCAGACTGGCATCCATGAAGCTTGATACAGAGTGCTGAAGACAGGTACCAAATGAACCAATGACAAATCTTAGGGCCAGTTCCCACTGGCTAGATTCTTGCAGGTTCTGGAGCAATGCCGAGATGGAATTTATAATAGGTAAAATGAGGTTGTCTCCTGTGAAATGATAAAAGTACTTCATTTCAGTAAAAGTATTTTAATATTTAGATTTTTCAAAGAAATAAAGATCATAATTATTGAAAAACTGTTTTCAGGGACAGCCAATGTTTTCAATGTAGATAACTATCATAAAATTGGTTCTTAAAGCTAGTAAATGAGAGAATTAACACGGACTTTATTTAAACCAGAAAATAACTAAGTTTGATGATAACTGATCTATTTTGAGATGCTTAAGTCATTAGCTGGAAAAAAAACAAAAAACAAAAAACCACTTCTCCGTGGGGAAAACCAAAATTTATGAACAGATTCGTAAGTTAATGTTACAAGCCAATGACAGTCTCTTGACCTTCTGGAAGAGTAACACTGTAATAGTCATAATTAAGTACATCAAGAACATTAAGTCAGACTTATATTCAAGATTTCAAGGAATTTCTGTTTTTCTGATGTCAAGTACCTTCATTAATAGAACGGTATGGTAAACTTGTAGAATCCAAGGGATGTCTCTTGCTTTCTACAAAAAAGAGTGAAATATGTTAACAGTAAATAAAACAACTTGCTTGTAGACCACATATTCCAAGAAATATTTAAATATTATGCTATTAACAAATAATGTTCTAAAATAATCTACTTAAAAAAAAAAAGAGCACTTAAGTATATACAGAAAAATACATACGTTAAATGTACAACTTGATGAAGTGAATACATTCACATCCCAGAACCCAAACCAAGAAATAGAACCTTACCAGTACCCAAAACTCTCTCTTCCCCCTTTCCAGTCATTATCCACCCTCAAGAGTAACCATTCCCCTGACTTCGGACAGCACGGCTTCTTTATAGCCTGTCCTTGCACTTTACGTGAATGAAATCATATAGTATGACGTGTTCTTTTGTATTTGGCTTCTTTTGGTCAGCATTGTGCCTGCGAGATTCACCATATTCCCATGTGCAGTCCTAGTTCCAAACCTCCACACTTTAAAACTTGCATAAAGCAGAAATACATAGAAAATAACAACACAAGTGACATTTACCAGCCAGAGGCAGAAGTGACGCAATCAATTCATAAATAACAGGCAGCACCATCTGTGACTCCAGAACTATCCCATCTTCACTGAAGAAGTCACTGTAAGACCACTCTTCATATGGATCTTTTTGAGTTCCAAAGGAAGTCTAAATACCAAATCACAGAAAAGACCCAAGTAAATACACTCCAAAACACAAATACCATCTTCACTAAGCAGAACCCAGAATCAGATGTACTAGAGCCAAATGCAGTTTGGATGGTCAAATACAACTGTGTAGTCTGCTTCCTCTGGGTAGTCTGTGGCTTATGATAATGCCATTTTAAATTAAACCGTTACTCTAAGATAAGGACAATGTCCAGAGATGCCTTTTTTTGAGGCCCAACATTTCAAAAGATAGGGCAACTTAAAGCCAATAAATGTCACTGAAAAAGAGGTTTCATGCCCTTGAGTTTTCCGGTCTAGAATAAGAAAACACAAGAGGTAGGGGCACCTGGGTGGCTCAGACAGTTAAGTGTCTAACTTCAGCTCAGGTCACGATCTCATGGTCCATGAGTTTGAGCCTTGCGTCTTGCTCTATGCTGACAGCTCAGAGCCTGGAGCCTGCTTCGGATTCTGTGTCTCCCCCCTCTCTCTGCCCCTACCCTGCTCTCTCTCTCTCAAAAATAAACATTAAAAAATAAATTAAAAAAACCCACAAGAGGTAGATTTGATATTTTTATAAACTATACAAGTGATTTAAAAGTGGTTCATAATGGGCGGGCAGGGATTTGGTTTAAGAAAAAGAAATTTAAAGGCAATTTACTTTCATTAGAATTCCACAGTCATCCATTTGGCACTGTCTGGAAAGCTCTACTGCTGTTAATGTATATTTACATAGTTCTAAAGCATCTAGCAAAAAATCTGAAAGAAAATGGAGAAAAATCATTACACTAATATTCCACGTGTTTGGAATAATGAAAACAATCTTTTAATAATTACCATTCAAATTCTAAAGAAGGCCACAAGATAGAACGGTTTCCACACAGCTTTGACTACCCTAAATAATGCAGTTTAAATTTTTACATAAGCTTGGCTGAGATGTAACCTCGTATGTGGAGAGGCAAGGAACTTCACAATCCCATCAAAGTGATTATTATCAACAGTTGGAAATGACATTGTTAATATCTGTAAATATTTTGAAACAATATTCCCCATGGAGAATCAATTATGACTGGCTCTTTGTAAAATGGAGAGAACGATCTTTTGTTTTTATGGCAATGTCCAATTGTGAAGAGACAGCACACGTGGGAGATCCGTGTGAAATGAGACACAGAACACAAAACTATATTATACACCCTGTCACCTGGGCTGCAGATGGTGGCAGCTTGGCAAGCTAGAGCATGTATTTCAGAAGGAAGATTGAGGCCCACGGGTGTTGCCATTGGAATGTCATTAGCCAACATGTGACAAAGCTTCTGACACGTCAAAAACAGCAACTTCCCAGTGTCGGCATTGCGGTGATACTTAAACAAGTCTCTGGAAAAAAGGAAGTGTCAAAAGTGAGAATACTCGGAGCAAAAGCAAATGCATTTGCCTTTCTTGGATTAATATATGAACACTACCTCTTTAAAAAGGGGCGCCTAGCTGGCTCAGTTACATGTCTGACTGTGGCTCAAGTCATGATCTCGTGGCTCATGAGTTCGAGCCCCGCATTGGGCTGTGTGATAACAGCTCAGAGCCTTGAGCCTGCTTCAGATTGTGTGTGTCTCTCTCTCTCTGCCCCCGACTCACGCTCTGTCTCTCTTTCTCAAAAATAAACATACATTGGGGTGGCTGGATGACTCAGTTGGTTAAGGGTCTGACTCTTGGTTTCAGCTTAGGTCATGATCTCATGGTTGGTGGGTTCGAGCCCTGCATCGGACTCTGTGTTGACAGTGTGGAGCCTGCTTAGGATTCTCTCTTTCCCTCTCTTTCTCTGCCCCTCCGCTGTTAGTGCTCTCTCTTGCTCTCAAAGTAAATAAATAAACTTAAAAAATAATGAAAATAAACACTAAAAAATAAAAAATAAAATCTCTTTAAAAATGTTTTTATGCCATCTAATGTGCTTTGTCTTTTAACTTATTTGGGATATTACTAACTGTCAGAGGGCAAGGCAACCTAAATTCCATGGTTAGGTTACCTAACGACTCACATCATGTGAGTTACCTGCCTGCTATGCTACCATTTTGTGACCTAAACTAGGCTCTGAGGGCGAGAAACCAAGAATGATATCCATGCAAATGAAAAGGTCACTGGCCTAACCCTATTACCAAAGAAGTCAAGGAAGCATGTGTTCCTTTCAGACAAGCTATGTGTGCACGGGGCCGGGGCTCACCTGCATCTTCTCAGCGCTGCTTCCAGGTTCCCATGGTTTAAGGCTCTCAAGGTCAGCTCGGCCTCCCGCTCTTGTGTGGACACGTGCAGGGCCAGCGCCTGTCTGTGCAGTTTGGACTTGGTGCTCGGGCTCTTATCCTCAGCAGCTGGAGGATCTGCAGAGCTCTGGGATTTGTGTTTGGTCTGTGTGACTTCGTGAGCTCTGATGTACTGTTCACGGAGCTCTGAGACCAGGGCACTGTTGCTGTAATCTCCAAAGGACAGGAAGACCTCGAAGTTCTCCTAGGAAGGCAAACAGGACAGCGTGCCACATCTGCTCACTTCATCTGTTGTTAAAAACCACTGGCGAGTCTCAAATCTCTCCTTATTCTCCCTCAAAGACAACTCCCATGTTAATTAAGAATTTAAGACTTTATATTTCAAGTTATGAAAATAATACTATAATAAGTTTGAAAAATGGGAAAAACCATTTTAACCCAAGGATTTTTTCTTTTCCTTTTTTTTTCAATGTTTATTTTTAAGAGAGAGAGACAGAGAGAGAGAGAGTGAGCGAGAGCAAGGGAGGGGCAGAGAGGGAGACAGATAATCCAAAGCGGGCTGCACATTGACAGCCGACAGCCTGATGCGGGGCTTGAACTCATAAACTGCAAGATCACGACCTGAGCCGAAGTCAGACGCTTTAACCAACTGAGTCACCAAGGCGCCCCTTAACCCAGGATTTTCTAAATGTCAGCACTATTGACACCATTTCTTGGTGTCAGATCATTCTTTATTGTGGGGGAATCCTTGAATAGCAAAAGCGACAGAATTAAGTATTAATTCTAATAGTTAGAATTAAGTATTAATTCTAATACTTAGAATTAAGTATTAGCTGAAGAAACCAGCTTTGCTCTTTTTTGTAATAATTCCTTTTGGCTGCTAATTCCAGACTTAGAATTTATTTTTCTTACTCGATTAAAAAAAAATCCCACTGAGGCCCAGGGAAGGATACCAAGAGGCAGTGAGATCACCTTCTTCTCCCCCTCTTCTTCTGGCTCTCCTCCCTCCCCTCCTCCTCTTCTCCTTTTCTTTCCCCTTCTTCTATTTTTTTTTAAGTAATCTCTACACTTAACATAGGGCTCAAACTCACGATCCCAAGATCAAGTCACGTGCTCTTCTAACTGAACCAGTCAGGTGCCCCTAGACCTTCTGTTTTGATGCAGTACTCTACAGCAAGGTTTCTCAATCTTGCCAGATCCTTTGTTGTGAGGGCTGTCCTGTGCACTGTAGCAGCATCCCTGGCCTCTACCTGCTAGATGCCACTAGCACCCTCCTTCTACCACTTGTGACAATCAAAAACTATCAAAACTCCCTTCACAGTGCCAAGTACTCCCTGGGAGCAAACACACCTGAGCTGAGAACTGGTTATCCTAATAAGCAGTGACCATTTTCTTGGTATTTCTTTTCAGTTTTCTTCACCAGCATTTTGTGGCTACATGGGTAATTTCATATGTTACCTTCTCCAGTTAACACTATGGCATTTCTCCTTTCTCCTGTCATTACACAGACTTCACAAATATTATTTTGGATGCCTGCATAACTTATCTATGGTGCAGTTATTTATAAAATGTAAAATTTTGAAACTGAGGCTTTTCCCCCCAAAATATTAGTTATCTTTCCCGAAGAGGATGCATCATGTAGAAATACTTATTTATAAAAATAAATGTTTACTACAGATAAGTTGTGGAAGACTTTATTCATTATATGTCACAATTCTCTATTAGGAACCACAGAAATGTTTATGCTTATATAACCACAGACTATCTCTAGAAAAATATGCAAGAAACTGGCAACAGCAGTTGCATCTAATGTGGGAAACTGGATAGCTGGAATATCAGGATAGGAGGAAGACTTGGTTTTCACTATATATTCTTTCAAACTTTTTTTTGTCAAAGAGTTAATTCCTTATTGTTTACAACATGCAGTACAGAATTTTAGTAAGTTTATTTTTTATTGTGGTAAAATATACATAAAATTCACCATTTTAACCATTTTTAAAGCCTTTTGAATTATGTAGCATCCATGTAGAATCTAGTCAAAGATAAATATACAAGTGATTAAACCACGAAGTTTCTCTTTTCAATGTGCATCTTTTTCCTAAGGAATGTAGCTTCTGTGTGTAGTCAATATAGCTCATGATTTTTCAAGAAGATATATATATGTTTTTAACGTTTTATTTTTGAAAAAACACAAGCTGGGGAGGGGCAGAGAAACCAAGGTGGGGCTTGAACTCACAAACTGTGACATCATGACCTGAGCAAAAATCGAATGTTTAATCGACTGAGTCACCCAGGTGCCCCCAAGGATATATATTTTTTATTTTCAGTAATCTTATTTTAACTATTTATTGCTGCTGAGGCAGTGCTAAGTAGAATAAGCAAGGGTACTGAGGTCAGACAGATAGGGTCCGAGTAGTGGGTTCAGGTGATGAGCTCACCATGTTCACTGCAGCATTACTCACAACAGCCAAAAAGAAAAAACAACTTAAGTGTCTATCAACAGAGGAATAAACAAAATGTGGTCCACTCCTACAATGGAACATGGGTCAGGTGTTAAAGGAATGAAGCACTGACACCTGATACATGGAGGAACTTTGAAAACATGCTGAGAGAAGCCAGACACAATGAGATAAATATTGTAGGATTCCACTTATAAGAAATCTATAGAAAGGCAAATTCAGAGAAAGTAGATCAAAGGTTTCCAGGGTTTGGAGGGAGAGGGGAACAGGGGGTTACTGCTTAATGGGTAAAAATGGGTAAAATGGATAAAAAGTTTCTGCTTGAGGTGACGAAAAGTAGATGGTGGTGAAGGTCACAACATTGTAAGTGTAATTAATGCCATTGAACTATATATTGAAAAATGGGTAAAATGGCAAATTTTACATTGTTACCACAATTATGAAAAATTATTAATATACCAAAAGCACTGAATTATACACTTTAAATAGATGAACAGTATGGTATGTGAATTACATCTCCATAAAATTGTTTTTTCCTTTTATTTTTAAATTTTTATTTATTTATTTTTGACAGAGAAAACGCATATGTTTGTGAGGGTAGAGTAGAGAGGGAGGGAGAGAGTCCTAAGCAGGCTCCCTGCTGTCAGTGAAGAGCCTGGGGCTCAATCTCACGAGATCTCAAACTGTGTGACCAATGTCAAAGCTGTGACGGTGAGACCATGACCTGAGCCAAAATCAAGAGTCCGATGCTTAACCGACTGAGCCATCCAGGCACCCCAGGTTGTTTTACAAATGAGAGAAAAAAAGGAAAACCAGTACGCTGTAATTAAAATTCCCGAAGGCTTGGGGCACCTGGGTGGCTCAGTTGGTTGAGCACCCAACTTGGGATCAGGTCATAATCTCATGGTTTGTGGGTTTGAGCCCCACATTGGGCTCCCTGCTATCAGTGCAGAGCCAGCTTCAGATCCCCATCCCCTTCTCTTTCTGCCTCTCCCTCACTTGCACTTTCTCTCTCAAAAATAAATGAACGTTAAAAAAAAATAACAAAATAAAATTATTGAAGTCCAGTACAGAAAGTTTGAAGGATGGACTGATCATCCATGTCAAATGCAGTGATAAGTAACATAATCAGTAAAGTAATAATGTTCAACATAACTTAACATCTTTACCTGTAAGCTAGCAACAGCTTTAAATAGTTTCAGGATTTCTTCACATTCATCCTTCTTCTGCAGATTGTCTGTAATTAAATTTTTTTAAGTTATAGTAGACATCCAAATTCCCCTATTATTAGATTTTTTTTTTTTTTAAGTAGGCTCCATGCCCAATGTGGGGCTTGAACTCAAGACCCTGAGATCAAAAGTCACATGCTCCACCGACTGAGATAGCCAGGTGCCCCTTATCAGGGTTTTTTTAAAGCTAATATTTTAATTGGCTATGGGTCTTTTATCTCAAGTCTTCAGTAGTTCTTTTCAGAAGCTGAGGTAAGAAAATTTAAGTACAAAAAATCTATTCTTTCTGAAGATAGAAAAGAGAAGCCTATGAGTTACAAGAGAAATGGCAGTTATTCCGAAATAAATTTTAGCTTTTTCCCCCCGAGTTACTTTGTTAATGTTTTACTTAAGTTCAAGTTTAAACAGGTTTTTGCCTGACCATGACCAAACGATAAGTGAGAAATCTGAGCAGTAAGTGCAAGGCACCAAAGAAATCCAATCTAGCCTCAAAGAGCTTACTGAAGCATATAAACAAATGGTCAGGTGATTTTAGAGGTTTCTGTTTTTACACTACTAATCAAAAGAATAAAGGAAGGAAGACTTTTCATGAGGAAAAATGGGTGGGGTCAATGAAGACAAAGCAAGAAAAAACAAGGATAAGGATGAGGGCTGTCACTGATGCTCCTTTCTAGAAAGGGCAAGCTTAGGAACAAAACCAAGATGAAGGCACAAAGGTAGAATGTACCTTTCTGGATGTCACATAGTATTTTAAGAATGTCTACGGATGTCTTCGCTACAGACATTCTCCAGGCCTTGTCCTTAAAAGGAAAATAGAAAATAAAACATATTTCTTTTATTTGTACTTTTTATTCACTCTTTTATTCACTACTAGTGAAGTACACATACAAACAAATACACAAAAGCCATGAAATCAGAAAAAAAAAACCAGTAAAATGGCTGAAAAAAAATGAGAGGTCAGTCATCACAGGGAGTCAAGCCGCTGAGAAATGGATAATTGAATCGCATAGAATGTAAACATGAAAAAAACACTGGTATGAACGCTTGGATATATGATTTAGAAATACCATAGAGCAGGCAAATCCCCAAATCACACCTTTCAGCTACACTATTTTTTTTACATATGTAATGTTTTTTTTTTATTTTTGAGAGAGAGAGAGAGAGACAGCCACTCAGGCACCCCTCAGCTACACTGTAATTAATCGTCACTCGGGTTTTATTTTTTAAATAGTTTTTATTTGACAAAACATTCGGAAAAGCTCTCTGGAAAAGTTAAAAGAACTGAACTTGTTTAAGCCCAGAGAATGGAAGTCTAAGAAATAATCATTATCTTCAAGACTGAAAAAGATTTGAGGTACCTGGGTGGCTCAGTTGGTTGAACATCTGACTTCGGCTCAGGCTATGATCTCACAGTTTGTGAGTTCGAGCCCCACGTTGGTCGGGCTCTGTGCTGACAGCTCGGAGCCTGGAGCCAGCTTCAGATTCTGTGTCTCCCTCTCTCTCTGCCCCTCCCCAACTAGCCCTCTCTCTCTCAAGAAAATAAACATTAAAAAAAAGGACTGAAAAAGATGAAAACAAACAAAAAGACAAGAAAAATCAAAGGAGGAAAAGCTTTAATTGAAGACATGATGTATGTGAAATGCTTAGCAAGTGCAAGGTCCACACAAAGTACTCAAGTATTTCCACTCTGGGGTGCAGTCCGAGCTGGTGGTTAAGAACACAGACTTTGGTATCAGACGGTTTGAGGTGAGGTTCTGCCACTTTCTAATAACGCCAGGAAAGTCACTCATCTTAAAATGTTAGTTTCTGAACTTAATCTATAAGGAGCTGACAACAGAACCCATCTCAGAATGTTGTTGTGAAGAGGAAAGTGGACAATTCATTTAACCTATTTAACCTAAGCCCCCAGCATTATAACAGTATAACAAATATTAGATACCAAAATAACCAAACTTACTTCCCTAAAGGTAAAAAATTACTAAAGTGGACTGCTGACACAGGATGGGGGATAAACGGTAAAAAAACCCTCAACTGTCCTGAAAATATTAGGTATTTGGTTCCTCATCTCTCTCAAGAAGTGAAGTGGCTCTTTTAAAATTGTTCCTAAGTTCAACATTCTCAGATTATTGAGATTTACATGGGTTCTGTGGCTGACATTATTTGATAGTAATGACTACATCCTATACAACACAAAATACTTTATATTGCATGGCTTTATGGAAAACCCTTTTGTGTACAACAATTAGTTCAATTAATCCTGGTTTGTAGATCCTTGATTATTCAGTGTGGGCTCAAGCCACTGCTCCAAGGCAGCCATATGTGGTTCTTTTCTATGTAGTGAATTTACACAGGGATTTTTACATTAGAACATTGTAGCAATGAGAAGAGCAGATATTCATATTTTGCTTATCCATCTTTTCTATCCTGTTGATTAATATCCATAAATACTGGATTTATCTATATTTTATTTAGTGAAAATCTCACCTCTTTAGAATCATCCGGTTCTTCTTGTAATGCCAGTCGTGCCCATACGATTACCCGTTCTGCAGTTTTCTCTGCTTGAGCAGGAGGCAAAGACCTCAACAGAAGCACACAGTCTTCACCCTTTAACAGTGTTTGAAAGGAAGAAAAGTGTAAAGGACAGTTTGGAAAGTTTGGACTTACCTCTTCCTTTTCTACTTAAAGGTGAAAAGACGTCATTTAAAAAAATAGAATATAGTCTGATGTTTTAAAAAATTTGCTAATTCTGGTTTTGACAACAGCAAACAAAAAGATAAAATTAAAATACAAACCTTTGTATGTTGTGACTCTTAAGTATGCTCATGGTTATCAAATTATATCAAAATAAAGACACTTAAAATACAAAAAAAAAAAAAAAGAACATCCTACTCTGGAATCAAAGGGTCCTACAGCGTATATAAAACATGAGTCTATGTTTCTTAACAACCAAATAGTATGAAAGCCCAAGAGCCAGTCACTAAATACTTTTTAAAGAACCTACAGTTATGAAAAATGCAGCCAGTCTAACATCCAATATTTTCATCTTGGTGTAACTTTCGTTTGTGCTAATCTAGTCAGATAATTTGATTGATATGAGCTTTTACAGATTGAGTTGACAAAGAAATCTAAGAAAGGATAATATAAAACTCATACCTGTTCTCTATCCATCAGGTCAATAATCTTTAGACTATAAATTTCATCATCAGGTAACATATATGCTTGGGCCACCTTCAAAGCATCTTCTAAAGAAGATGGAACATCTTGTTTGAGAATATATCTGACCACCCTCTGAAACAGAGACAATATACAATATATACTTTCTTCGTCATGAAATCTCAGAGAACCCAGAAATCCTTTGTTCATAAGGGCAAAGTACTCATCAAATTAAAATCAAGCAGCAAAAAACAAAGCTGTGTGAAAAATTAAAACATGATTTATATTCTGAATTTTATGACAGTCCTGTCTACCTTCTTCCCCATCGCCCAGCTTTATTGGGGTATATGTGACAAATAAACGTTGCGTATACTTCAGGTGTACAACCTGATGATCTAATACACTCCTTTTGAAAAGGTCTTCTTTTATTTTTTTAAGTAATTTCTACACATAACATGAGGTTCAAACTTACAACCCTTAGGTCAAGAGTCACATGCTCCACTGACTCAGCCAGCCAGATACCCCTGAAGATCCTACTCAAATTCTGTCTAACGAAAGGAAAGTAGTGAGGAACCTAGCCCTATGAGCTTTTAAGAATATAAAGTCCTCGTTACATTTTCCAAGTTGCTTTCAACATGGAACAGAGGAGTTAAAAGACTCTTCAACTATTGTACTTACCATGATTTCCTTGTTTAAGAGATTCACCTCCCTTATTCCATAACCTCGTAAAAGTTTTTTCATCTCCATTAGTTTATAACTTTCCTGCAATAACTTGACCCTAAAAGGAAATTGTTGATAATAACATGGATTGTATTTTTTTAATGAAATAATAAGGGACACAGTAAAGGAAAGAAAACCATAAATAGATGTCAAGTGAAAACATGAGGTTTATCCAACACCAAAACAACTATTTGGGAGACTGTCATCTTACTTGGGATGGTCCATCTCTAAATGCTGTCTCACCAGCTGCTCCACAGCCACGCTCCAGGGAACCACCGCAGCGTACATGATCTTAAGCACAGCATCAAATATGAGCTACAAAGATACACACACACCAATCATGAAGAGGCCTCAGATTTATGTCTCATGCAAATTAATGACACTGTCTAATCTACAGTAGATGTCTTATATCCACTGTGCGGTACTCTGAGAATATGCTCTCTGATTGCAAAAATACATATTTCTTCCAGTTTTTACACATAAAGTACAATTTTATTATTTAGAAAAACTCAGAAAAATATTTTCTCTGCTGAAAGTTAAATCATATACCTCTATTCCTACAGACTCTAGTTTCTGTTTAAAAATATTTTTCAGGATTTTATTCATATTTTTATGATGGTGTCCAGTAACAGTGAGAAGTCAAAATAAAAAATGTTTCCAAAAAAAAAAATGTTTCCATGTTTGTATTATCATAGAAAAGCCTAGAAATATATGCATCCCATCATCCACGATAGTTCTTCTAAGAACGGGATGAGAAAGTTTTTACTTTTTATAATTAAAGAAAATGGAATTTTGGGGTTTTTTTTCTTTTTTTTTTTTAATTCTTTTTCCAAACCTCACAAATTCTCCTTAGCAAATATTGTGTTGCAGGGCACCTGGGTGGCTCAGTTGGTTAAGCGTCCAACTTCAGCTCAGGTCATGATCTCATGGTTTGTGAGTTTGAGCCCTGCATTGGGCTCTAGGCTGACAGCTCAGAGCCTGGAACCTGCTTCGGATTCTGTCTTCCTCTCTCTGCCCCTCCCCCACTCATGCTCTGTCTTTATCTCTCAAAAATAAATACACATTAAAGAAAAAAATTTTTTATTTTTATTTATTTATTTTAAAATTTTTTTTTTTTTAATATTGATTTATTTTTGAGACAGAGAGAGACAGAGCATGAACGGGGGAGGGTCAGAGAGAGGGAGACACAGAATCTGAAACAGGCTCTAGGCTCTGAGCTGTCAGCACAGAGCCCGACGCGGGGCTCGAACTCACGGACCGCGAGATCATGACCTGAGCCGAAGTCGGCTGCTTAACTGACTGAGCCACCCAGGTGCCCTGAAAAAAAAGTTTTTTAAACAAATATGTGTTGCTTTCGTGATTAGAGAATAAGTTTTTTTTTTTTTTAATTTTTTTTTTTTAACGTTTATTTATTTTTGAGACAGAGAGAGGCAGAGCATGAATGGGGGAGGGTCAGAGAGAAAGGGAGACACAGAATTGGAAGCAGGCTCCAGGCTCTAAGCCATCAGCCCAGAGCCCGACGCGGGGCTCGAACTCACGGACCGTGAGATCGTGACCTGAGCTGAAGTCGGACACTTAACTGACTGTGCCACCCAGGCGCCCCTAGAGAATAAGTTTTAAGACAAGATGCAACGCTCAAAAGGAAAATCTGCACGGTCACGACGTACTTACATCTGTGTCAGATAAACATCCTATTACTGCCATGGCTTTTGCTTCCCATGCAGTTTCAAAGAGTGAGGTGGACTTTGAGCTACATCTCTTCAATAAATCCTAAAAGGGGATAAACATATATATTTTTTTATTTAAAACTCTCACATACACAAAAAGTAAAACACAGATAGAGATAAATAGCTTTTATGGACATGAAAAAACAACAAAAACAAAAACTACTTAGCCATGAATGTTAAACAATACTCGAGAAAGACAAAATTGCCAAAGCCTTGGCCTTTAGTTTTATATGGTACAGAAAACTTAAGAAGGAAACATTCTTGAAGAATTTACAAATAAGATTATTGCAGCTTATTAATGTGTGAAAATAATTGCTAACATTTGTTGAGCTTATGCTCCTATTATTTCACAATAACAATTTGGAGGAATAATTAATTATATTATCCCATTTTGCCCAAGGTTACCATCAATCAGTGGCAGTTATCCCACATAACCTTGCCAATACAACATGCTGCATAAATCCTAATGGTAAAGTATGACATTTCTTAAAGGTTAAATGTTTAATATAATGACACATTGCACAGAGGCAAGGAAAAAAGACTAGATCTAAAGAAGTTACCTCTATGTAGAGCAGGAGAAGTTCCTCCTCTTGCAAGCCATGTTCCCTCATGTAAACTCTTATAAACTTCTCTAAGATGGAAGGAATCAGCTCTGGGGCTAACACTTTATCAAACATCCGGAACACAATGGTGGTTGCATTCTCCTGAATGCCAAAAGAAAGATGGTATAGATGCAAGCTCTAGCCATAGTGGCTGTGATTAAAAACTAATAATACTTCTGATAAGTCTAGACTTTTACCTTCTCAAAATCAGAGAGGGCCAGTTTGCAGTTGTATTTCCTATGCAATGTGATCAACTCCTGCAAGTTATTTACCAAAGTCCTTAACTGACATACTTCCTCTGTGTTTTGATAATCCTTCTAAAACAGAAGTGTGAGAAGGAAATATACAAAAAGTCAGAATTATTTCAGATAAGGAGTGCCTGGGTACCTCAGTCGGTTAAGTGTCTGACCCTTGGTTTTGGCTCAGGTCATAATCTTATGGCTTCGTGGTTTGAGCCCCACACTGGGCTCTGCACTGGCCATGTGGAGCCTGCTTGGGATTCTCTCTCCCTCTCTCTCTTTCTCTGCCCCTCCCCACTTGTGGTGTCTCTGTCTCTCTCAAAATAAATAAACTTAAAAAAAAAAAAGAATTATTTCATATAAAATAAGAATTGGCCATGATTATGGTCTTAAGAGGAAATCTGAACCTAATACCTTAAATTTTGTAGAATTTTAACTCATAAACTAGTACAAATTGACAGATCAGAATCCAATAGAAATCTAAAAGCAATTTTCCCTCTCAAAAAAAATACACAGGGGCGCCTGGGTGGCGCAGTCGGTTAAGCGTCTGACTTCAGCCAGGTCACGATCTCGCGGTCCGGGAGTTCGAGCCCCGCGTCAGGCTCTGGGCTGATGGCTCAGAGCCTGGAGCCTGTTTCCGATTCTGTGTCTCCCTCTCTCTCTGCCCCTCCCCCATTCATGCTCTGTCTCTGTCTGTCCCAAAAATAAATAAACGTTGAAAGAAAAATTAAAAAAAAAAAAATACACAGAAAAACTTCAATGTTAGTGTAATTTTTTTTAATGTTTTATTTTTATTTTGTTTTAAGATTTTAGTTTTTAAGCAATCTCTACACTCAACATGGGGTTGAACCTACAACCCAGAGATCAAGAGCACACGCTCCACCGACTGAGCCACCCCTGAATGTTAGTGTTATATTTTTATACTTAAGTATAAAAACATCATTTAGATGGCCCTCAATATCCCCTCTATACAGATCAAGATCAGATATAAAATTGTAACATTTCCTAAACTTATATACAAGAACACAATTTTCACTATTGATAAAAGACAACAGAGAAAAGACAAAAGTAGTATTTTATAAGCAAGAGAAAAATCTCTTCTATGGAAAAATCTGTTATAATGATCAATATACATCATATATTAAATGTACATATATCAATATACTTGAAATGCATAGAAAAAAATTCCCATTTAATTTTTAACAGTATATAATCAGTAAGTACAATTACTGGCAAGAATCTGCTGTGTCAGAAAGGAGGAAGTTCAGTATGTATTTTGATAAATTTAGAAATTTAAGGAATCAATGCAATTTCATAATGCATATTATGAGCTTATATAAAGTGATACCTTCTGGTACTTAAGTCCTTAATACTTCCAAGTTGAAATTGTAAGGGGATGTCTCACATATTAGTTTATAAATGAATTTATGGTACCCCAACAAACTTATGAATGCTTTCTCGTTTTTAGAAACTTAAGGGGAAAAAGAAATTAAAAATTCAGAAGCCAAATTATTAATTCAGTTCATGAACCTCAAATTAACATCAAACATAACATCAGCATTTCTGAGCTTAGTTCCCTTTCTAGCACTGCTATTTTTTTCAGTCAAAAAAGACCCAGAATTTTTTTCAGTTTCATCTTTAAAAAAATTCACTGGTACTTAAGCCATAATGGCTATTAGAAATCTAAGAAATGCAATCAGAACAGGGAGTGGTTTGTTGGTTTAAGTAAGTCTTTGAAAACTAATCCTAATGCATTAATAAATTTCATTCTTTTAAAGGACTATGAAATGCTGCCAATGCAGAAAATCCCAATTATACTACTTAGGAGTATGTTTATCTACTGTTTCCCATTTGGTTTGATCAATAGAGAAACACAGAGCATTAAAATAGGCTGAAGCTGTGACAGGAGAATCAGAAAGAAAAAAAAGAAAAATTTTCTTTTTTTATTTTAAAACTACATGAAAGAAAAACTCATAAACAGAAAATTTAAGAAATGGATGTATTTCTAAGTACACGTAGACAAACTCTTTAATATAAATTGAGTGCTTTACTACTAAAAATTCATTATCCAGATCATACCAAGGAAATCCATTGCCAACAGGACACCAACACCAACTCATTTGGTTTTTCTGCTGTAAAAAAGACTTCTGCCAGTTGAAGTCCATTTTCTGGCCAGTTTGCCTGTGAAGAGTAACAGAAGCCATGCAACGTGATGTTGTAAGCCACTGGGAGTGTTTGAAATGTCTGTTCAGTGTAAATTATACTGGTATTACCTTATCAGTTAATTCAAGGTTTCTGGCTGCTTGTTCCAACCATTTTGCCAGAATTTTCTGAAACAGACATATTACTTAAAAATAAAATACTCGGCAGACAATCACTGGAATAATTTAAAACTCCCCTTGGTAATCTTTCAACAGAGACAGTAAAGAACTAACTGGTGTTAGTGTAATTTACTATGACATAAGGCAAAGACTGGACTTGGACGATCCAGAATGGAAATACTAAAGGTAACTCACCTGCCCTTCAGGTACAGCCCTTCTCACAAATGGGATCACATCATTTTTAAGCCATGGACAAAGCTTTTGCAAAGAGACTGGTGTAGAAATTGAGTTGAGCAAGTTCTCAAGCATTTTCACATCAAATCTGTTTTCAAAGTTTGCCTAAATTATACAGGGTGAGAAATTAAGACCTCTCAGACAGATTTAAAGTGACAGCCTCCCAAAATGGAAAAGACTTATTATGAAATAATGTACTGATTTAATTATAACCACTAAGGGTGATTTGCTCTATACCAGTGAGTCACCGGCAGCCACAAACTCCACGAGCTTTCATGGCAACAAGTACCAACTAACAAATTAAGTGGAGAGAAACTGGCAGGGAAAGGAAAATTTAGCAGCAGGTCAAAGTACAAATCCTAACAAGCAACGTGTCCATTCTTGACGTCACACCAAGATACCACTTTTGGCACCTAAGTATATCTGTCAACATTGAAGGGATTCAGAGCAGCAGTGTTAATGGGCAATCCTTTCCCACAATCTGAGCTGCAACAGGAACACCCTCTCCACCAACACTACTTAAGAAAGCCCATCAAGGGGCGCCTGGGTGGCGCAGTCGGTTAAGCGTCCGACTTCAGCCAGGTCATGATCTCGCGGTCCGTGAGTTCGAGCCCCGCGTCAGGCTCTGGGCTGATGGCCTGGAGCCTGTTTCCGATTCTATGTCTCCCTCTCTCTCTGCCCCTCCCCCGTCCATGCTCTGTCTCTCTCTGTCCCAAAAATAAATAAACGTTGAAAAAAAAAAAAATTAAAAAAAAAAAAAAAAAAAAGAAAGCCCATCAATAATCATGTAATAAAACGTTACCTTTTTTTTTTAAAGATCTTGTTAAGTAACCTCTATACTCAACATGGGGCTCGAACTCACAAACCCAAGGATCAAGAGTCACATGCTCTACCCACACAACCAGCCAGATGCCCCAAAATGTTGCCTTTTGAATTAAGTTTAGGAGTTAATTAGATTTGAATGATGAGATAAAATATGTTTCTAAGGTATCTTTACCTCTAATTTAATATCATCAGGATACTTTCATCAAACATTCCATTACCCACTCACACCTGTGACCCTTCTCATCCATGTGAAGACAACGGATTCAATCACCTATCCCAGGAGCCATAAAGCCACTAAGGACAAAACACAAAACATATTACCCGATGTCGAAGCCAAAGGTACTGTGCACAAACAAGGTTTCCTTCTCTTAGCTGTAAAAAGATATCCTTAAGGTCATCTTCATTATTCAGAAATTCAATCCAAGAACTACCACTGCAAAGTCAGAGAGGAAAAAAATTAGTGGTTTAAAAAAAAAATTAAAGTTATATATTGCAAGGAGAAACCATTAGACATTTTAGTTTTTTCCTCAAAGTTAAAAGAAGTTCCAAAGATTATACAGTGAAAAGCATGTTTTCTTCTTATCTCAGACCTGCAGAGCTCCTGTCATCTTCTCCAAAAGCCATATCTCTTCTTCTAGGTCCTTCCTGAGATAATCACTACATAACAAGCAATTATTTTAAGTATTAAAAAAATTTTTTTTAAATGTTTATTTGTTTTTGAGAGAGAAGGACAGAGAGTGAGCAGGAAAGGGGCAGAGAGAGAGGGAAACACAGAATCCTAAGCAGGCTCCAGGCTCCAAGCTGTCAGCACAGAGCCCGATGCAGGGCTCTAACCTACAAGCCATGAGATCATGACCTGAGCCAAAGTTGGATGGTTAACTGACTGAGCCACCCAGGTGCCCCATTTTACGTTTTAAAATAAATCAGAATTTTCCATATATTATCTGTTCTTTGAAAAATTCATTTTACATTAAGTTGGTGCTTATACCAAATTAGCACACATAAATGTTATTCTTTTTAAGGACTACGTATTATTCCATGACATGGCTTTACTATTCTTTATTTAACTAGTCCCCCATAGTTGAACATTTAGGTTATTTCTAGTCTTTGGCTATAACCAGTAATGTATGACCAACTCAGTCCTGATTAAAGCTCAGAAATAGGGTGCCTGGGTGGCTCAGTTGGTTGAGTATCCGACTCTTGATTTCGGCTCAGGTCATGATTTCACGGTTCATGAGTTCAAGCCCCACATCAGGCTCTGTGCTGACAACATGGAGCCTGCTTGGGATTCTGGGTCTCCCTCTGTCTCTGCCCCTCCCTGCTCATGTGCATTCTATCTCTCAAAAGGCTCAGAAATAGATGATGAATGTTTCCTTAAAATTCTTTTTTTTTTTTTTAACGTTTATTTATTTTTGAGACAGAGAGAGACAGAGCATGAATGGGGGAGGGTCAGAGAGAGAGGGAGACACAGAATCCGAAATAGGCTCCAGGCTCTGAGCCATCAGCACAGAGCATGATGCGGGGTTTGAACACACGAACCGCGAGATCACGACCTGAGCCGAAGTCAGACGCTTAACCGACTGAGCCACCCATGCGCCCCTCCTTAAAATTCTTAAAATGATAAAAAGAGAAACACACTAAAAGCCTATATCATGCTTAATTGTAAAGCAAAATAAGGATTCCCATAAATGCCAGTTACAAGAGAAGGATACCTATTACCACTATATTTAATACTGCTCTATATGCACTGATGAGATTAGGTAAAGAGAAAAAGTGAGGCAAAATTATCATTATTTGAATATATAATTATATACTTGGAAAAAATTAGATCAACTGAAACATTATGAATAATAAAGGAATTTGATAAAGTATCTGGTTAAAAAGCAATTTAAAAAAATCAACAGCTTTTCATGTCTTTCAAAAATATGATGAAACATCCCATTTATAACAGTAGAAAACAATTTAAAATAAAATTAACAAAAAGTGTACAAAATCTGTATGAAAGCAACTGAATAGATACTGCTGTGAACATAAAAAAAGAACAGAATGAGTAGGAAGACACATACTGTCCTTAAATAGGAAGATTCAATACTGTAAAGATGCTGGTTCTCCCCAAATTGATCTTAGATTCAGCACATTCCCAATAAAAGATAGAAATAAATAAAAACTTAAAATCCCAATAAAAATAAGATTTCTTTAAACTGGGTAAGCTGATTCTCATTCCAAACATCATACAGAAAAACAAACATGAGAAAATGGCCCCCCCAAATTCTGAAAAGGAAAGTACAGTAGGGTTAGTCTACCAGATAATAGGACATTCTAAAGTTACATTAATCAAGACTATTTCATACTGGTGAATAAAGAATATAAAATCAACCAAATACAAAGTCCAGAGACAGACAAATACATGCCAGATTGTTAGCATAATATTGCAATTAGCAGGGAAAGGGAGATTGACTAGCCATAAGGAAAACAATAAAACTTTGTTGTTGTCTTATCTTTTTTTAAAAATTTTTTAAAGTTTATTTATTTTAAGAGAGAGCTCAAGCTTGAGCTGGGGAGGGTTGAGAGAGGGGGAGAGAAAGAATCCCAAGCAGGCTCTGCATTGTTAGAAGGGAGCCCAATGCAGGGCTTGAACTCACGAACTGTGAGATCATGACCTGAGCCGAAATTGAGTTACATTTAACCAACTGAGCCACCCAGGCACCCCGTAATTTGTTTTATCTTTAAGGTACACCTCATACATGTAAATAATGCTACTCTTGGTGTACGTGTTAGTATATCTAACAGAATCAATTGCCAGAAGTGAAATTGCTAGGGCAAAGGTATATGCATTTAAATTTGCCTTCCAGGGGCGCCTGGGTGGCGCAGTCAGTTAAGCGTCCGACTTCAACCAGGTCACGATCTCATGGTCCGTGAGTTCGAGCCCCACGTCGGGCTCTGGGCTGATGGCTCAGAGCCTGGAGCCTGTTTCCGATTCTGTGTCTCCCTCTCTCTCTGCCCCTCCCCCGTTCATGCTCTGTCTCTGTCCCAAAATAAATAAAAAACGTTGAAAAAAAAAATTTTAAAATAAATAAATAAATAAATAAATAAATTTGCCTTCCAAATTTTAAAAAAATTTTTAACGTTTATTCATTTTTGAGAGACAGAGTGCAAGTAGGAGTGGGGCAGAGAGAGAGAGAGGCACAGAATCTGAAGCAGGCTCCAGGCTCTGAGCTGTCAGCACAGAGCCCAATGCAAGGGCTTGAACTCATGAACTGTGAGATCATGACCTGAGCCGAAGTCGGATGCGTAGCCAACTGAGCCACCCAGGTGCCCCACCTTTCAAATTTATCAGTTTTCCAAAGATGGTGCAGAAGAGTATCTAAAACTCATCAGGAAAATAGTACTTTCCATCACTCAATTCCCAGAAACACATTCAGTCAAAGCAATACTGTATCTTTTATGACACTCTAAACTAAAACCTAATTCATAATCTAAAAATGAAAAATGAGGAATTTTTCACCTGAATTTTTCTGGTCCAAATGCTCCATAAAAAGTAGTCAATTTTGCATGAGCCCTTAGTACCTAAATAGAAATAATCTGATAATCTGAAAGTTGCAAGCAATAACAATTAAAAACACCAAAAATTAGGCATTCTGTTTCAGAAGTCTTGCACACATGCCCATTTCATCCCATATTATTGGTCAATTCCCATAAATAGGACTGCATTTATGTAACACAAAACAAAAACAATGTGGACTAATGGAAACACTTCCAATCACATTAAATGCAATAAAACTGCAAAAGAGAAGGCATTTGCACACTGACTATAGGTGCCCTTCAAAATTAATTAGTTTTCCCAGTGGTTTATAAATGCCTTATGGTAAAATCCAGCTAGATTATACTTTTGTACTCTGATAATCACCATCACAGTTTACATTTATTTGTGTGCTTAACAGGTGCCAGGCACTACACAAAATGATTTATATAAATTAATTCATCGGATTCCAAAGTAACCCTGTAAGTACTATTATTCCCATTTTTCAGTAAGAAAACAAGAGTTAAAATAACACTCTTGAAAAAATATAGGTCTATCTTGAACTGAAAAACATATTGTAAAGGTACATATTTGCCCTCAAATTAAGTCCAATGTAATTACCTCTTTTAAGCCATCAGAATAGACAGGAACAGTTTTATCTTCTTTTTTCAAAAGCTAAGATGAACAATAAGAAACACAGTTAGAGTATCTGCTATATTAGTTTTTTCATGAAAGATGAATTTTCTGTGAAAGGAAACAAATTATCAAATTCCACTGAACTCTGAGATAAACCGTGAACAATAAAGAAATGACATACTTTAAAAAATAATGCATTTTGGGGCGCCTGGGTGGTGCAGTCGGTTAAGCGTCCGACTTCAGCCAGGTCACGATCTCGCGGTCCGTGAGTTCGAGCCCCGCGTCAGGCTCTGGGCTGATGGCTCAGAGCCTGGAGCCTGTTTCTGATTCTGTGTCTCCCTCTCTCTCTGCCCCTCCCCCGTTCATGCTCTGTCTCCTCTGTCCCAAAAATAAATAAACGTTGAAAAAAAAAAATTAAAAAAAAAAAAATAATGCATTTTATGAAAATAACTCATAACATTTTGCCCATGTGTTACACCTTAATTTTAAGGAATAAAACTAGCAATGGTGATCAAAGTTCAGAGGGGAAACTACAGCGTAAAAATGCACTTTAAAAACAGGTCTATGATGGGGCGCCTGGGTGGCTCAGTTGGTTGAGTGTCTGACTTCGACTCAGGTCATGATCTCAAGGTCTGTGAGTTCGAGCCCCACATAGGGCTCTGTGCTGACAACATGGAGCCTCCTTGGGATTCTGTGTCTCACTCTCTCTCTGCCCCTGCTCAGGCTCTCTCTCTCAAAAATAAATAAACATTAAATAAACAAACAAACAAAAAAAACAGGTCTATGATAGAGACACAATTCTTTTTTTTTGAGATGGTTTATCTTGCACGAGACAAACTATCAGGTACAAAGGTTATAAAAACTTACCCTTGTTTTTGCATAATTTAGCATTTCCTGGGTGGTTTCATAGGTTATCCACTGAGCCTCCAAGCAGTAATTCACCACAAATTCATCATCCTGGTTCAGAAATACCAGACATAATGAGGCAACCAAATGTTATTCAATCCATCGATCCGAATACTCTCATACATGACAGGGAAAACACACCTGGATTTTATGTAGATTTTCTTTAGCTTCACCTACGAGTTTTTGCCATTTAGTCTGCTCGCTGGTGTCCGCCGAACTCAAGGCTAGTCTCTCTAATATATCATTGGATTTCACCTTGTAAACAAGCTGTAATTTAGAAATGCTACATTAAGCAACTTGAAGCAAAATAATGCCTGTGGATGACTTTCTAGACTGCAGGCAATAGACTGTTATTGAAAAGGGTTAAGTCTCCTTTGGCCCAGGAGTAAACAGTAAAGAAGCTAACACTTAGATGACCAAAAGGTAATCCAGATTACTAAGAGTTATGGAGACCACTGAGTCCTTAACTAAGGGTACTAGTAGCCTTATGTGAATTATCTCATTTAATTCTCATAAAAACCTGAGCAACCATTTATACCTCACCCTAACTCTATAGGGTGAATATTAATATTCCCATTATACAGTCAAGAAAACTGACACTCCAGGAAGGGTAAGGAATGCACCTGAAGTTACGCAGTTCCAAAGGGATGGAGCTGGTTTTTGAAAGAGGACGATACAGGGGCGTCTGGGTGGCTCAGTCAGTTGAGCAACTGACTCTAGACTTCCATTCAGGTCATGATCCCAGGGCTGTGGGATCAAGCCCTGAGTATCAGCCTCTGCACTGAGCATGGAGCCTGCCTGGGATTCTCTCTCCCTCTATCCCTCTCCTCTCTCTCTCTCCCAAAACAAAACAAAACAAAACAAAACAAAACAAAACAAAACAAAACAAAAAAAAACAAGAAAAACTAGAAGATGTCTGTTGGATATGTTGATTAGGTAGGTCATTGACATGTCTTGAAAAGTCTTGGGGAGTAATGTAGGAAAAACCTGATTGTAGTAAAGACTTAATATTTCCTAAGAGGGTGGAGGGCACCCCTCTGTTTTAAAAATGTAACATTTTAAAGCATGCAAAACAATTTTGTGAGTTGTTTAGAAAGTTATATGACCAAAGAGATAGAGAAATTAATGGAGTATTAAGCACCAAAATCAGAATAATGGATACTTCTGGTTGGGGTAAGGAGAATGATGTATCTGGGAAGAAAAGAAAGAGGTCTTAAGCTATATTGGTAATATCTTTTTTTTTTTTTTTAAGTAGGGTGATGAGTATGTGAGTGTTATATTACCTTTTTGAACATCTGAAAATTTTTCAATAACTATTTTTTTTTAATTTTTTTTTTTTGTTTATTTATTTTTGAGACAGAGAGAGACAGAGCATGAACAGGGGAGGAGCAGAGAGAGAGGGAGACACAGAATCTGAAACAGGCTCCAGGCTCTGAGCTGTCAGCACAGAGCCCGACGTGGGGCTTGAACTCACGGACCGTGAGATCATGACCGGAGCCGAAGTCGGACGCTTAACCGACCAAGCCACCCAGGCGCCCTGCAGTAACTATTTTTTAAAAAAGCGAATGGGGGTGCCTGGCTGGCTCAGTCAGTAGAGCCTGTGACTCAGTCTTGGGGTCGTGAGTTCGAGACCCACATTGGACATAGAGATTACTTTAAAAATAATAAAAAAACGTGGGGCGTCTGGGTGGCTCAGTCAGTTGAGTGTCCAACTTCAGTTCAGGTCATGATCTCGCGGTTCACGAGTTTGAGCCACGCATCGGGCTCTGTGCTGACAGCTCAGAGCCTGGAGCCTTCTTCAGATTCTGTGTCTCCCTCTCTCTCTGTCCCACCCCTGCTCATATTCTGCCTCTCTCTCTCTCTCAAAAATAAATAAAACATTAAAAAAATAAAATAAATAAAAATAACAGTAAAATTAAAAAGTGAACAGAATAAAAAATCAGTGAAAGTTTTTCAGGGAGTGGAGAAACAGAAGTAGAGAAACTGTGCTTTCTTATCATTTTTAGCTTTCGGAATTAGAGAATCAAAGTTGGTATTTGGTTTATAAAAAAGGAACCTGAAGTTTTGGGTATTTCTAACTCATGCTATTTCTAGCTGCTAAAGAACCTTTGACAAACTTAGAAAACTAGACATGCAACATAATTGTGTGGTCATCTTTAGTTTTATATTTACTTATTTTTTATTTTTTGAGAGAGAGAGAGTGCAAGCAGGGGAGAGGAGTAGAGGGGGAAAGACAGAGACAGAGAGAGAAAGAGAGAATTGTAAGCATGGAGCCCAACACAGGTTTGATCCCACGACCCTAAGATCATGACCTGACCTGAAATCAAGAGTCAGTAGTAGTTCAACAACCTGAGCTGAAGTTGGACACTTAATCGACTGAACCACCCAGGAGCCCGCCCCTTAATACTTGATCTTATCTGCAGTATTTGAAACTGTTGATCACTTTGCACTAGACTCTAAAGTTTCTCTTTCCTTGACTTCTATCTATAATCATACATTCTTGTGGTTTTCCTCCTTTATTTCTTCCCAAATATGTATACAGCCCTTCTTCCTCAACTTCCCACATGCTGGTACCCCTGGATCTCATCCTGACATGAGATCTCTCTACCCTACACATTCTTCCCAAGTGGTCTGAGGCATCCCCTGTTGTTACCTACCTCTAAATTCAGCTAAGATCACTCTCCAACCTCCTACCAGAAAGGCTCGTTTCCAGTTTTTATAAAGCAGATCCTTCATCTTTTACCACTACCTGCTCTTCCACACATATTTCTCATTTTAGGGAGTGCCGTCCCCATCCCACAAGTATGCTGAGCCAGAGTCCCGCCAGTCCAATCCCTACATCTGTCCCTCCCTATGTTTGATCACTAGTCCCACTGATTCCACCTTCCCTGTGCCTCTCATGTCAGACCTCCCTCTTGTACATCTCCACCTCACTGCACTAGTTCGGTCTCCCACAGAAAGCTGTTCAGTCTCCCAACTGGTCTTCACACCTCTAGTCTGCCCCTTTCCAAACAATTCTCCAGCTTTACAAAGTGACAATCTAATCAGGACACTTGTATTAGCTCCCTATCACCTGCAGAACACAACCTAAATCCTCTGCAACACACACAAGGCTCCCCATGCTCTGATCACCTAGTTCTCCATTATCAGTTCCTTTTACTGCATGGTGTGTATAACCTACATTCTACTCTTACCTAATTACTGGGAGTTCCTGGAAGCCCTGTACGCCTCCCTCACTTTACTTATGCTGTCCTTACACCTAGAATTCCCTACCTTCCCCTGGACTATCAGGAACATCATCAAGATCTGACATAAAATGATCTCTGTGAAGTCTTTCTGCCCCAGTATATCTCCATCTCTCCTTTGAATTCCTAGTCTACTTCGGTCATATCTTAATCATAGGACTGATCATACTAAATTGCAATTACGCCTTACATGTCTGTCTCCCCAGTCTCTACTACATGAAGAAATGCTCGTTTGATAAACAAATGAATTCATGATTACCTCAACATCTAGTCCAAACTGAATAGCAAAGCTCTCGGCTTCAGCAAATCTGTGTTTGTGAAGTAACCGACTCAATCTGATGAAGTGAAAAACAAATTTCAGTGAAATCTTTATTAATCAGGGAATTTAAGGTTATCATTAAGGGGTAAGGCTTAAAAGAATATGAGAAGTTACCTGTTTTCTGGTAAAGCTTCTGTAAGACACCTGAGTACTACAACAGAGACTGAATCTTCAGATAGTCTGAAAAAAGTTTTCAGGGTGAATGAATTAATAGTATTAATAAGTAAATTGTAACATAGCTGCTATTTAACGACTTATTTAATAAAACAAAATACGACCTACTTTGAATCATTTTTGCAAATTCCTTCCAAAAGGTATATGGTATCCTACAACAATAAAAAAAAAAGTTTAAAACTGAAACATAGAAATAATTCATTTTAGGGGCACCTGGGTGGCTTAGTCAGTTAAGCGTCTGACTCTTGGTATCAGCTCAGGTTATGATCTCAGGGTTTCATGGGTTCAGGCCCCACAGGGGGCTCTGTGATGACAGCGCAGGTCCTGATTGGGATTCTCTCTCTCTCCCTCTCTCTCTACCCCTCTCCCACTCACGCTGTCCCTGTATCTCTCTAAATAAACTTTGAAAAAAAATTTTTTTAAATAATTCATTTTAGTTACTAAGGTAACAACTGGTTTAGGTGAGAATTATTCATCAATGGATTCTAAACTCACTGTGAAAAACTGTTGGGAAAAAAGGATATTCCATAGTTTCAAAAAAATACCAGAGAATTTACTTAGCAATTACGAAGGAGAAAAAGCACCTCTACAGTGGAGAAATCTGGCAAAACTGCCTTAACCAAGTAATCACATTTATCATCATCAGTAATAGGACAAATGGACATAAGCCCCTTAACATGACACAGCTGAATACAGTATAACCTATGTGGTATCCTTGTCAAGAAAGCTCAGCATGTGTCTAATTGTGACGCAATAACCAGACAAATCCAAATAGAGGGACACTGTACAACACAACAGGCTAGGATTTGGAAATGTCAATGTCTTGAAAAAAAAGACTAAGGAACTATTGCACATTATAGTAGACCATGTGACCATGACAACAAAATTCCATATATGATGCTTGATTAGATCCTGGATTAAGGAAAAAACAAAAATAAAACAAAACAAAAAAACAGCTTTAAAGTAATTGGCACAATTGGTAAAATTTGGATCTGGATGGTGTATTTTGGAACAGTATTGTATTAATGTTAAATTTAATACCGGTATTATAGAAAAATGCCCTTATTCTCAGGAGAGACCTGCTGACGCACTTAGGGGTAACAGGCCATGATGTCTGCAAGTAAATTCCAAATAGTTTGGAAAAATACAGTGTGTCTGTGTGTGTGCATATGTGTGCATCTGTGTGTGAAGACACGAAACAAATGTAGTAAAATGTTTTTTGAAAGATTAAAATTAAAAGATAAATCAGTAAAAGCAATGACCCTCCGCCCAAATTGCTTATCATTCATATTTCCTGTGGAGACACAAGAAAACTGAATAAGCAGATGGTTCAGGTTTCATTTGATTAATATGCTTTCCTTTTTCTTACATGAAGACTTGGTTTGGGCAAGTATATTTGAGAACCTCTGGTAACAACAAATATAGTTATAAACCTGAGCTCTATTCAGGTATTACACCAGTTCCACTCATGCTTAGTTTGTTTTAAGTTTTTATTTATTTAAGTATCTCTACATCCAGTGTGGAGCTCAAACTTACGACCCGAAGATCAAGGGTCGAATGCTCTTCTCAGTCAGCCAGGCACCCCTTAGCTTATTCTTAATTTTTTTTATTATAAAGTACAAAATACACATCAACTTACTGTGCTAATTCCTGACTGGACCAGAGATGAAACGCTAGATACTTCCAAAGAATACAGTATTTCCATCATGGGTAATGAATAAACCACGAGATTTTTCATCTAAGAAAAAGAGAAGAGCAATTAATTTAGTAGGTCATATAAACCTACAAGGATAAGATAGCACTTTATATCAAGTGGCTAGATTAAAACACTTAGTACAAAACTAAATGCAAAAACAATTTTATAACGAAGACCACTGCTGTATTATTTAAATGTTACATATAAAAATATGCTCTATTCCACCATTCAAATCTGTTGAATAAAAAACTGTACATCTGGTGTTCATTCTACAATTTGTATTTAGGATGCATGTAATTCCTCAGTACCAGAACTGTATGAGTCACTCTAATGAACATTTTCTTGTGGATATATATTTTTAAAGCTTATTTATTTTTGAGGAAGAGTGAGCAGGGGAGTGGGAGAGAGAGGGAGAGAGAGAATCCCAAGCAGGCTCCACACCATCAGTGCAGAGCCCGACATGGGGCTCAAACTCACGAACTGTGAGATCATGCCCTGAGCCGAAATCAAGAGTTGGACACTTGACTGAGCCACCAAAGCACCCCCTTGTAGATATTTTTAATCCTGCAATGCTCCATTTAAAATAGGGAGCTGAGGCGTGCCTGGATGGCTCAGTCAGTTCAGCACCCAACTTCAGCTCAGGTCATGATCTCAGGGTTCCTGAGTTCGAGCCCCGTGTTGGGCTTTGTGCTCACGCTCAGAGCCTAGAGCCTGGAGCCTGCTTCGGATTCTGTGTGTGTGTCTCTCTTTGTTCCTCCCCTGCTCACACTGTCTCTCTCTCTCTCTCTCAAAAATAAATAAAGATTAAAAAATATTTTTTTTTATTGGGGAGCTGAGACATATCCATTTTTTTATGAGGAAAAAGAACTCTGCAGGATTATTTCTGATTTGTCAAGTGGGCACTACTTAACTACTTTCATATTAGTTAATGCTATTTCTAACACATAATATGGACAAATGTGAAATAAAATCTTCCAATACCTTATCAGCAGTAATTGTCAGAGCCACTAATTTGAGATTTGTAATCCCTTGCCTAAAAGAGAAAAGAAGGTTTAAGTGAATAAAATAAGCTTTGCCAATCGCTACATAGAAGCTAAGTCAAAGGGGTATTCTTAAAGGTTAAAATTAATTCCCACCAAGACACTGAACCTGGTTTCTTCACGTTTACAGCCCAGATTAACACTCTTTCTAACACAACCACTTGGAGGTTTGAACTACCCATTTGTTCTCAATGAATCTGGCCAGCAATGGAATGATCCTTACCCTGTCAGTCTGTCCAGAGTTAGTTAGAATGTAATACATAATCAACGATCAAGAAGCCTGATTCTAAAAGAAAGGAAACACTACTAGCGTCATAATGTACCACGTGACTGATGAAGGAGACTCTGCTTCTGTGGTAAGAAGAAACTCTTCAATGTGAAGAGAGGGCCAGTTCCATATGGGAGTCAGAGTGTAAATATCCCACAAGCTCAGCACATTCTGCAAAAGGAGACATTTCACGGATACATCTTCTTAATGATATTTCAGGATCTCACATTGTAGGATCTTTTTGATTTATGTACTGAAATAAAGCATAGCACACCAGATAGTAATCCACCCCACTTAAAGTCCTCATCTTTGTTAAGTATGACAAATACCACATAATACCAAGTGAAAACATTGAAGGAGAAATATCAGAAACATACATCAGTATCAAGAACAAAAAGTAGATTGTCTATCAACTGGAACTTCTTTGCACCTACAAAAGAGAAAGCAAGGTGTGTAAGAACTACATTTCTGTATTACAGATAGCCACATTTAAATAATAAACTATCATGTTTATGGAAAGGCAGATCTACTACAACTAAAGTTTGCATTCTCACATTCGCTTCTTCATATATATATATACATATGTGTCTACATGTATACGTATATATATTTTAACTTCATTTTGAGAGAAATGGAAATAGCATGAGTGGGGGAGGGGCAGAGAAAGAGGGAGAGTAAGAATCCCAAGCAGGCTCTGGGCTTCCAGCCCAGAACCTGACGCCAGGCTTGAAGTCATGAAACCACGGGATCGTGACCTGAGCTGAAACCAGGAGTGAGATGCTTAACTGACTGAGCCACCCAGGTGCTCCTGCCTCTATGTATTTTTAGATGACCACTAAAATGTAAAATCTCCTAAAATGAAGAGTAAAAACTGCAACATGTCAAGCATACATGGACAATTATCTAACTAACCTGGCGTGTTTCAAAGAGCAGTAAGGTAAAATGGCCTGTTTGCCAGACTCAGGATGATACCGACCTGAAAATTAAAACTTGCTACTGTTGACCCCAAGTAGTTTCATGAACTTATTTTACCTTTAATAATCTCTGCATCAAGAACATTCTTAACTGTCATTCCTTTCTTGGAAGAGTCTGGTTCCCATTTTGAGAATGCACAATTACCAGTTCCCTACAGAGGTAAAATAGCACATCAATTGCAAATTTCGTTCTTAGATCTGAATTCTCCTCAAAGCAGAAACACCCAAGTGGTACACATTACATAGTTCAGAATATACTTATGTACTCAAGCCCAACTAGCGTTTTATCTTCCAGTTCCCCTCTTAAATTGCCTTCAACAGAACAGGATGGCAAGAACAGCAAAGTTTGCTGTTCACTGTTATCACGTGAATATTTAATAAGGAGTGGGCATATTCAGGCAACTCACTCCAAAGACATAGGGTAAACTTTAAGACCTCCTCCAGTAGTATGAGATATAGTTTCTGATTAAGTATTTTCATTAAAGTAACCATAACTTTTTAAAAAAAATTTATAAATATTAAATCATTTGAAACCCTAATGAAATATTGAACCAGATACACAGAATAGACAAATGTGCCTGCTTCTTAATATGAAATACAAATTTCGTAGGTAAAAACGTTGTAAATGCTATAATTATGTTGAATTTTTGCCTACTTCTTGAATATAATTAGATTTTTGTTGTTGTTTTTATCTAGACTCATAATTGAAAGAAATGCTAAATTTCAGGAAGAAACTAGTAAAAATAAAGATGCAATATTTTCCAACAGAGAAACTTAGGTATACTTACTGAGTTAATTTTATGACCTTAATTTTATAATTTCCCTGCTTCTGTTAATATATTACAAATTAATTTGTAATTTAACCAAAACTATGTTAATGAAGAAACACTTCTGAAGCAAAAAACTAAAATTTTATAGAAAGAATTACCCCAATTATCACAGGAATTTCACTGGCTAAATCTCCAGCCACAAGATTGAGACAACCAAGAGTATGGTAATTTTCAGTAGAAATAAAACTGGACTTGATTTGTCCTTGTAACTGCAAAATTAAAAAAAAATAAGAATGTTATATATATGCTCCACCGTCGAAATTCCTTGGAAAGATAAAAATGAATTAAATCCATCTGTTATAAATGCATTTTTACTTTTTTTGTTTTATTTTCTAAGTTTATTTATTTTGAAAGATGGAATGAGAGACAGTGCAAGCAGGGAAGGGGCAGAGAGAGACAAAGAGAATCTCAATCAAGCTCTGCACTGTCAGCGCAGAGCATGACACAGGGCTCGAACCCAGCTGAAATCAAGAGCCAGATATCCAACCAACTGAGCCACCCAGGAGCTCCTGTTTTTTTTAAATAGATATCTTTTTTTTTTTTGAAAGGCTTTATTTTTATTTTTTTATTTTGAGAGAGAGAGAGAGAGCACACAAGTTGGGGGTGCATAGAGAGAGGGAGAGGGAGATTCTTAAGCAGGCTCCATGCTTAGCATGGAGCCCAACACAGGGATCTTATGACCTTGCGAATACCTGAGCCGAAATCAAGAGCTGGATGCTCAACTGACTGAGCTACCCAGTGGGCCCAAGATACTTTTTTTAAGATTTTATTAAAAAAATTTTTTTTAAACGTTTATATTTTTGAGAGGCAGAGAGCGAGTGGAAGAGGAGCAGAAAGAGAAGGACACACAGAATCCAAAGCAGACTCCAGGCTCTGAGCTGTCAGCACAGAGCCTGATATGGGGCTTGAACCCACAAACCGCAAGATCATGACCTGAGCTGAAGTTGGACACTTAACCAACTGAGCCACTCTGGCACCCCTAAGATTTTATTAAGTAATCTCTATACCCAACATGGGGCTTGAACTCACAACCCCGAGACCAAGAGTTGCATATTCCATCAAAGGAGCCAGCCAGGTGCTCCTATAAATGCATTTTAAAATGGAAATGTTATTAAAATGTTAGATCACACTAATTCCTAAAACATTAGCCACTAGACAATATCCAGAAACACTCTCCCCAAACTTATATTAAATATAAGAATCAACAAGACAATGTGGTTTTGTTTTCTTACCTTTTTTGCTGTGTTGAAGTCTACATTCTCAATTGCTGTATGAAAGGAGAAAGACTAAATTTATAGTATTAACCTATGAAATACACACAAGTCACCCTTGTGTGTTAAGTCAAAATTACATACAATCTAGTGAGAAGAACACAGGTCAGAAACTAATAAAGAAATGTTGACTTTTCAGTTTTGCCCTTGACCACTGATATAAACTGTGACAATATGTCATAGTCAGGACACCAGCCAGGCTGCCTTTTTGTCCCTGGGATGCTTCTCCATACCTTCCCTTATCATGTTTCTCCCTCCTAAGAGGGTCTTCTTCCTGCTCCAACTCTTCTATCCAAGCTCTGAAGTCCTACCTGTAAAGTCTTCATCACTTTGCACACCATTTTGGTAGAGCTCTTTTACTTGTCTGGCTTCTTCATTACACTATGAAGAACTATGTCTTGTAGTATCCCCCAGGACCTTGTATGTTCTTGGAACACAGATTATTTAAGGAACTTGCTGAACACATGCTCTGAACTAATTCCTTAACCTTTCCCAGCTCAGAGGAATGTATGGTCCATCCATTCACTTAGCACATACTATGAATTATTGTCTGTTATTGTTAACATGTTTATATAGTCACTTCAGTCTCCAGGTTCATTCTTTCCATCAAAGAGCATTTATTATTATGCTAGTGTGTGTCTTGTCTCCCCAGCTAAGCTATAAACCCCTTAAAGGCTATAAACAAAGTACATTTCCTCAGATTTTGTTGCAGCCCTCATAATGGAGAAACATAATATGAATACTTAAAAAAAAGTATATGCAGTATCATAGAATCTAATGAAACTAAAATAATATTCTCTCTTTTTTTTTAATGTTTATTTATTTTTGAGAGAGAGAGCAGGGGAGGGGCAGAGAGAGGGAGACAGAAGATCCAAAGCAGGCTCCACACTGACAGCAGAGAGCCCAATCTGGGGCTCAAACTCACAAACTGTGAGATCAGGACCTGTGCTGAAGTCAGACACTTAACCGACTGAGCCACCCAGGCACCCTCTCTCTTTTTTAAAAAAATATTTATTTATTTTGTGAGAGAGAGACGGGGAGAGAGGCAGAGAGAGAATCCTTAGCACAGAGCCTGATACAGGCCTTGAACTCATGAACTGTAAGATCATGACCTGAACTGAAATCAAGAGTTGGACGCTTAACCGATGGAGCCATCCAGGTGCCCCCTAAAATAATATTCTTAAAGAAAATATTTAAAATTTTACCCCAAGTGGCGCCTGGGTGGCTCAGTCGGTTGGGCGTCCGACTTCAGCTCAGGTCACGATCTTGCGGTCTGTGAGTTCAAGCCCCGCATCGGGCTCTGGGCTGATGGCTCAGAGCCTGGAGCCTGCTTCCAATTCTGTGTCTCCCTCTCTCTCTGCCCCTCCCCCGTTCATGCTCTGTCTCTGTCTCAAAAATAAATAAACGTTAAAAAAATTTTTTTTTTTTAAATAATAAAAAAAATAAAATAAAAAAATAAAATTTTACTCCAAAACTAATAAGAAATATTGCTGCAAATCAATAATAAGAAAAATCCATTACTTACCTTGTTGAATTTTTGCAAGCTGAAGATTTGTAATACAAAAAAATCCACTGTTTGTAAGCAGCAGCATATAATAGGTACCTATTGAAGGAAAATCAAACCAGTTTCTCTAAAAGGTGTGTGGATATGAAATTTAAGCCAGTGTTTGGACCTAGCTTAAAAATATGTCAATTTGCTCATTTAAATTCTAATCATCAAATAATATACTAATGATACAGATAAAGCTTATTTACAAAGAACTGTTATTTGCAAAAACAATGTTAACTTCCTTGAAACTTTATAAATCAAAGTTCATTTGCCAAAAAAAAAGAAAAAAGAATCTTAGATATATTGAAATAAATTAAGTATAGTTAACATTTGTTGAAATAAAAATATGATAAATATGCTAAAACCTACAAAAACATTTTATTTTTATTTTTATTTTTTTAATTTTTTTTTTCAACGTTTATTTATTTTTGGGACAGAGAGAGACAGAGCATGAATGGGGGAGGGGCAGAGAGAGAGGGAGACACAGAATCAGAAACAGGCTCCAGGCTCTGAGCCATCAGCCCAGAGCCTGACGTGGGGCTCGAACCCACGGACCACGAGATCGTGACCTGGCTGAAGTCGGACGCTTAACTGACTGCGCCACCCAGGTGCCCCCAAAAACATTTTAAAAGAATATAATTCTCCTTGGTAATCTATAGAATTCTCAAAATGGTAAAAATGAGTTTAGAATATTATATTTAAGAGAAGAACATTTAAACCTCTGAAAAGGACTAAAATAAAAAACTTATTTCTTACAATAATATTACTTGAATCACTAGAAAATTTAACATTGTATAAAAAGCATAAAAATAGAGTCATGTAATTTATTAACTATAAAGTTGATTTTTTGATTGGATATTAGTCAGATAGCATTAAAAAATATTCAAAAAACTTACCTTCACTTGAACCGTCTTTCTCAATAACAAGATTCCGGTAAGTACGCTGATTTTCATCATTAGCTTTCTGAATAAAAGCCTAATTGCAAATTCATTTCAAATGATAAGATTAAACTCAGAAAACACAATTATAGGGTTATAAGGGTTATATTCTCTAAAGCCCAGGGTTATCAATTATTATTAGCAATAATTCTGCCTATGTTCCAAACATTTTAATTTTGAAGTGGAAAACTATTTTGGACAAGCATACTATCTTCAAATCTTAATTTTTAAATTTTGCATTTACTTCATGTTTCTGAGGTATGATTCTTAAAATTTCATGTAAAGAACATTATTTTTTCCATTTAAAGCACAAATTAAGCAACGGTTTATTAGTTTTCGTTGTCTAAGAGATAATTTCAATTTAGGTAACAAAAAGAAAAACATTAACAGGGTCTTACATTAGTGAGTAATGTTTGCTTCGATGTTACGTGAATAAGATGTAAGTTGCCGCTTCTCTCCCCAACCAAAAGAAACTTTCCTTCTTGACATAGGCCAACTACATCCACTTCGGTATCTGAAAATTTCAAATCAAAGTTACAAGCTTCCCACAACTCTTTCTGCCCACAGGTCCTGTCCTCTTGCTTTAATAAAACCATCTTTTTGCGCTAAAAAACAAAAAGTTATAAGCTTCCTTCAAAAACATTTATTTTCAATCAATGCAAGAAATTTGCAAATTTTGTCATTAAAAGCCAACTATTCAAGTTTCTCTTAAATACTTCCAAAAGGTGGTGATTAAAAAAGAATGTGGAGGGGAGGGGTTGAGGGTGAGGAGGCAGTGAAAATGGGGCATGGGCATTGAGGAGGGCATTTGCTGGGATGAGCACTGGGTATTCTATGAATCACAGGAATCTATTACTGAAGACAAGACTACACTGTATACACTGTATCTGTATGTAAGCTAACTTGACAATAAATTATTTAAAAAATAAATAAAATAAAATAGAATAAAATAGAATAAAATAAAATAAAATAAAATAAAATAAAATAAAATAAAATAAAATAAAATAAAATAAAATAAAATAAAATAAAATAAAATAAAATAAATGTGGGGCACCTGGGTGGCTCAGTTGGTTAAGTGTTTGACTTCGGCTCAGGTCATGATCTCACAGTTTGTGAGTCTGAGCCCTGCATTGGGCTCCGCACTGGCAGTGCAGAGCTTGCTTGGGATTCTCTCTGTCTCCTCTCTCTTTCTCTGCCCCTCCCCTGCTTGTACATTCTCACTTTCTCAGATAAATAAACTAAAAAAAATTTTTTTAAAAATGTTACTCTTGTATTCAGTGAACAAAGATTTACTGAGCACTTACTGCATGCTAAGCAATGGCCTAGGTCTTTTGCATATATCTAAGAATAGTAACAAAAGAGTCCCACCTTCATGGAGCTCAGATCCCAAGGCAGAAATACATGGTAAACAATTAGAGCATAATAAATTACATGATATGTAAGAAGGTGGTAAATTTTCTGGCAAAAAGAAAAAGTAGAGCAGGAAAAGATAGTTTGGAAGAGCCATGCATGTTGCAACACTGACTGGAGCCCTCAGGATAGCCCTTGCGGATAAGATGAGACATAAACACTTTCTACAAGTATATTACATGTTAACACAGCCCACTACTCCATGATGAAACTGTCAATGTTGTGGATCATTCAGGGTAGATACATTAAGATTCCACAAAATAGGAGTTCCTTGCCTCCATACTGCGATCAGGATTGGCTTCTCACATGCATACCTCCTGACTTTTTCTGTTGTCTAAGTTCTTAAACAAACACTTCAACAACCACCACTCAAAATTTCAGAAAAAGCATTCACAATGTTTTCACCTATATTTCAGCACACTCACTGACTTGTCCCTTATTCTTACGTCCACATTTGCATATACTTTAAGTCCTTCAACTCAAGGAAGAATTTATAAGTAATTTAGAAACTTTTTACACTGGGGCGCCTGGGTGGCGCTGTCGGTTAAGCGTCCGACTTCGGCTCAGGTCATGATCTCACAGTCTGTGAGTTCGAGGCCCGCGTCAGGCTCTGTGCTGACAGCTCGGAGCCTGGAGCCTGTTTCCGATTCTGTGTCTCCCTCTCTCTGACCCTCCCCCATTCATGCTCTGTCTCTGTCTCAAAAATAAATAAACGTTAAAAAAAAAAATTTTAAACAAACGAAGAATTAAAGTTAAAATAAATAAATAAATAAATAAAATAAAAACTTTTTACACAGCTATATATATTCTAAAACTATTCAAATACCTGTTTTGATATTGAAATTATGTACAAGATTCAGGAATGTGAACACAAATGAGCTCAACTGGTTTCTACAGTAATTCTAATTTTAAAAACCAGGCAAGTAAAGTCAATTTTGTTTCACATGTACCCTTTAGATTTACTGAGGAAGGGGCTAATCTCAGGATCCCTTGCATCTAGTATTCTTTGTACAAAAAGGCATTCAAGATTAATTTCTTGGAATAGTCCAATTTCAAGTCTTAGAAATAATGAAGTAAAGAAAAGGCAATGCAGTAGAAATTGGCAGAAAGCTATATCTGACTTCCAATTTATTTTATTTCATTACATTAGACTTACCAAATATAAGATGCAGTTGAAGCAATCTACAAACACTGTCAAGCAGGATCACTGATTGATCCACTACAATAATAAATCCGTTACTTAGGCTACATGCTTGTATCTTTGGATTTAACGAGGCCTGTGGGAGGGAAAAGCATGACTAAAATAAAATGTTTTTATACAGTTTAACAATGCTTACCAAGAGTATCATCATAGTCCCAAGCACCTACAGTTAAAATTTGAAAAGACTTTTTTTCTTTTTTTTAGTCCATATATCTAATTAGTCAAACTTTTCTTTCTATGGTATATCAATCCATTCAGAGTCCAAAATAGGGAAACAGTCCAAGACTGCTAAGAAAGGGCAAGGGATTCTCATGAGCAAGTCTTTGTTTCCTAAGGATAGATCTTATGCCTGAAGGAGTCAGCAGGCATGAAAATAAACAAACAAGCCATGACTGGCGCAAGGTCTCAGTGTCTGGGATATGACGGCTCGAAGGATGCAAACAGGAGGGCTCACACCCCCACAGACAACAATAAAGAGAGCAGAACCAGTCAGATTAAAGCCCCGAGGAAATGCAACTCTGGTATGGCCACACCAGAAAACTGGATCCTTGTGCAAAATGTTCTGAGTTTTAAATACTGACAGCCAAGTCAACATTTTAAAAATTACTATGCAAGCCAAATAGGAGTCTCCGGTCTTCAGCTTCTGGTACTTGGAGCTCTGCCCACAAACGTTTCTGGAAGCAGTTGGACAGCTCAGTGGTTGACAGTGCTCAATCACTTGCTGAGTAATCTTGGGCAAATGCCTCAACTGACCCCTCTGTACTCTCCTGTACCTACAACACTGGCCTGTATGAGCATTAAATGACTGAATTTGCGTAAAGGCTCAGAAGATAGCCCTGCATATATAATATCCGCTCAATGAGTGTTAACTGTTCTTAATCTTCCTTGGCTGGGTTTTAATCCAATCAGTTCATTTTGGGCCTGTTTCAACAGTCACCTTTTCCAGGTGAAATTCTTGAAAATGCCACCACATTCTGATGCTTCTCAATACTTTTAATTTGCTTCTTCTGATAGCAAGAAGTTACCCCAAAGCACTGCAAAGAAGGAACCGTGCAATACCTTCCTGGGACGTACCCATACAATTCTCTCTGCTTGGATAGCTCTTCTTCCTCCTCCTCTTTTTTTTTAGGACTTTATTTTTTAAGAGTAGTTTTAGGTTCACAGGACAATTGAGGGAAGGTACAGAGAATTCCCAAAAATCCCCAGCCTCCACATATGCACAGCTTCCTCCATTATCAGCATCTCCCACCATTTGGTACATTAGTTACAACTGAAAAACCTATATTGACACATCATCAACCAGAGTCCATAGTTTATATTATAATCCACTCTTCCTATTGTACATTCTGTGGGTCAAAACAAACATGTAATGACATATATCCACCATTATTATACTATACATTTTCAGTGCCCTAAATATCCTGTGCTGTGCCTGTGCATCCCTCCTCCCCTCAACCTCTAACCCCTGATAACTACTGATCTTACCACTGTGTCCATACTTTTACCTTTTCCAAAATGTCGTATCACTGGAATCACACAGTATGTCACTTTGGTTGACTTCTTTCGCTTAGTAATAGATACTTAAGTTTCCTCTTTCTGTGGCTTTATAGCTCATTTATTTTAGTGCTGAATAAGAATTGTCTGGATGTACCAGTTTATCTATTCACCTACTGAAGGGTATCTTGGTTGATTCCAAGTTTTGCCAATTTTAAATAATGCTGCTATAAACATCCATGTGCAGGTTTTGTATAGATACTAGTTTCAACTCCTTTGGGTAAATACCATGGGGTCCAACTGCTGGATTGTATGGTATGAGAATAATTTCGTTTTCTAAGAAACTGCCCCAAAGTTTTCCAAAGTGGGCTGTACCATTTTGCATTTCCACCAGCATGGAATGAGAGTTCCTGGTGTTCCACATCCTTGTCAGCATTGGGTGTTGTCAGTGTTGTTGATACTGGCCATTCTGATAGGTGTGCAGTGACATCCCGTGATTGCTTTGTTTTTTTAAGGTTTATGTATTTTTTGAGAGAGTGAAAGAGAGAGAGCCTGTGCCATGAGTGGGGAAGGGGCACAGTGAGAGGGAAACACAGAATCTGAAGCAGGCTCCAGGCTCTGAGCTGTTAGCGCAAAGCCTGACATGGGGCCAGAACTCACAAACTGTGAAATCATGACCTGAGCTGAAGTCGGATGTTCAACCAACTGAGCCACCCAGGCGCCCTATGACATCATATCTAACAAAGCTTTGCCTGATCCAAGGTCACAAAGATTATTTTGGATTGTTTTTAATTTCAAATTCTTTTTGTTTATTGCTGGTATATAGGAAAGCAGCTGACTTTTGCATATTAACCTTATATCCTGCGAGCTTGCTATAACTGATTTTTATTTTGTTCATTTATTTTTTAATGTTTATTTTTGAGAGAGAGAGAGAGAGAGAGAGAGAGAGAGAGAGTGTGTGCATGCACAGGGAAGGGGCAGAGAGAGAGGGAGACACAGAATCTGAAGCAGGCTCCAGGTTCTGAGCTGTCAGCACAGAGCCTGACACAGGGCTGGAACCCACAAACTGACAAACCGTGATATCATCACCTGAGCTGAAGTTGGATGCTTAACTAACCGACTGAGCCACCCAGGCACCCCTATAATTGCTTTTTAGTTTCAGGAGTTTTTTCAGATTTTCTACATAGACAATCAAGTCATGTGTAAACCAAGACAGCTTGCTTTCTTTCTTCCTGTATGCCTCTTCTTTCTCTTTCTTGTCTTATTGAATTAGCTGACATTTCTAGTATGATGTTGGAAAGTAGTGAGAGGAATACCTTGCCTTGGTCTGATCTTACTGGGTAAGTTTCTAGTTTCTTACCACTAAGTATGATGTTAGCTGTAAGTTTTTTATAGATATTCTTTATCAAAGAATAGTTTGTTGATGTGAAGCATTACACCGATTTTTCCAGCTTTACTGAGATACAATTTATATCTAACATTGTGTAAGGTTAAGGTGTACAACGTGATGATTTAATATAGATACGTATTACGAAATGATTACCAAAATAAGGTGGTAATTACTACAACCATCACCTAAACATTAATTGATTTTTGAATGTCTAAGCAACCTTGCATACCTGGGATAAATCCTATTTGGTCACAGTATGTAACTTTTTTTATATATTGTTGAATTCAATTTGGTAATATTTTGTTGAGGATTTTTGCATTTCTATTCAAGAAAAATATTGCAGTTTTCTTTTCTTATAATATCTTTGCCTAGTTTGGATATTAGGGTAATACTGGACTTACAGAATGAGTTAGGAAGTATTTCCTCTGTTTATGAGTAAGGTCCCCAGAAAGAGGTCCTGCCTTTCAAGCCCTAAAAAATGCAACTCTTCTTTCTAATAATTTGTCTCTTCTTCATTTTATTTAAACCTTCTTTCTTAGAGAATGAAATATTACACTGACTAAGAAAAGTGGAGGGAACTTGGGCTATAATACTCTGAGAAAAAAATCAGATGTACTTTCTCTACAAAAAAAGAACCTTTGTTTACAAAAAAATACTTTATCAGAAGCAAATTACTGAACAGGAGAATCTAAGTTTTTCTATAGGATTCAAACAATAAGGTTTCAAGCCTGGGCTAAGAATGGTAGCATTATTATTAAAAGAGGAAAGGGGCGCCTGGTTGGTTCAGTGGGTTATGTGTCTGACTTCGGCTAAGGTCATGATCTCGTGGTTCATGGCTTTGAACCCTGCCATCAAGTTATACAGTGTCAGTGCGCAGCCTGGTTGCGATTCTCTCTCCCTCTCTCTTTCCCCCTCCCTCACTTGCATGCGCACACTCGTTCTCTCTGTCTCAAAAATAAAAATAAACTTAAAAATTTTTAAATAAATAAATGAAGAAAATGAAACGTAGAAAGAAATGCATGAAAAGGATAAATGTAACCTCAGCAGTGTGCTTAACTCATGGGTGGAGTATGGGAGAGCATGGGAAAAGGAAGAGACGTCAGGGGCTTCAACTCTACTGGTAATGTTTTATTTCCTGAGCTGGTGGTGGGTACTTCTTATATCACTTTATATACATTCTGTATGTCCAAACGTCAAGAAGAGCTATGAAATGTTCAGTTTTGGAAATAGTGAACTTAAGACAATAGTGGGAGAATTCAGATGGAAATTTCCAGTAACGTGAGACTGAAACTTGATTCCTCGAGAAAGTGCTGTCAGCATTTACAGAACATTTACCATGTGGCTACTAGGCTTACTAAGTATTTAGCAAAAACGTTTTGAGTGAAAATAGCATCATAATCATTACCTTTTCAGAGGAGATCTTCGCTAGCAAATCAACTTGATATAAAGCGGTTCCATGTTCTTTTCTTGAGCCAACACTTAGGTACCCGCTTCCTGTATCATCACTTGTCAGCAACTCAATATCATTCCACATGTTTCTGAGATTGTCTTCCTGGGTCAGGAACCACTACTTTCCCTGGGACAGTATGTAAAATAAGAGAACAAATTTATATTGTTGCATAGAACACAGTTCCTTGGGAAACAAAAAGTTTTAACAAAAAGGACATATAGATATATATGTCCCTATAAATATAGATGCATACATATATATACGTATACATATATATATAAATCCAATGAAAACTCCTCTTTGTGTTATTTCTGCAGTCACTAGCTACTTTGGACCAATAAGATAAATGGAACTACACCTATGATTATCATTAGAGAACAATGTATTGGTTTAGGAACATAAATCTGATCTCAGCAATGTATCCTACAGCTTCTAGTATTTTGTGTGCCTAGCTCGAAATTGTAACAAGTTTTCATTTGAAATAAACCTTTAAGCAGGATAGCAATGAATAGTGGAAGCTCTGAAGTCAGACTATCTGGGATATCCAAGGATGGTTAAGGTTCCAGCTGAACTTTAAAAAAAAGTCTGTTATAATGTTTCCAGTAACGTACAGTAAATGAAAATAAGAAGGGAAAAATTGGATTGGGTTTCTGACTGCACCAAAGAGTATACATATAACCCCAGGGCAGTCGCTTGAACATCTCATCAGCAAAGACTATATAACTCATTGTATGTATGGCGTGTGGGATCAAATACAAAGATGGAAAACAATCCCTAGATCGATCGCTGGTGGGGAACAACCTCCAAATAATTACAACTGTTTGGATAAGTGCTAGCAGAAATATGTTTTAAAATTTACAGAATGTACAGCACAGGGAAGGAATGATTTTTGACTTGGTGCTCCTTCATGTTTACGACACTCGTCCTGGATTTTGTTCCTCAATTCTCTGTAACAGAGACATAGTTGTACCTACCCACAAAGGTTGTTAGAGGAGTTTTAAATATTCACAGAACAAGGCTTGGTTCGCGGCAAGCACTCAGTCTTACGTGTTAGGTGACTTATTATTTTCATTGGTGGAAACAGGGAAGATTTAGGCTACGGTCACAGGACGTTTCTAAACACGGGAAAGAGTTCTTACCGAGAGTGTAAGGCCAAGAGCAAGAAGCCAATTATGCAAAGCTCGGAGGGAAAAGTGACGCAGGCCGAATGCACAGGCTCAGAGCCTGGAACGAGTCTGGGGCAGGTGCCAGGCCACAGCAAAAATGAAACAGTGCAGGAGCTAACGAATCCTCGACTTCAAGATTGGATTTTTATGCTCGGTGCCGTAGGGTAAAAGATACTAAGCAGACGAGTGACTTGATTCGAGTAACGATTTGAGGTCACTCCGGGTGGAGAACCGATTAGCAAATTAAACGAAATAAAAGTGTCAATTAGGCCCCCATGCATAAGTGCTCCCAGCTGGGCAACAGACCAGCAAGAACCGGCTTCAAATTCTCTCCCGCCAGCGTCTTGAGGGAAAAACGCCCCGAGGTGAGATGAGGCCGCTATTCCTTCGACGTGAACCCACCCCCAGGTCTTTACAGCAGCGGGTTTCCCCCTCCTCACCTGCAACTGCAGAAACTAAAGAAGAACACTCAAATTTACCGCCCCGCTTCCTTCCCCCGACAACTGTCCCTAATCTCTTCAGGTTCTAGCCCACAGGTTTAAATTGGCGGGAGAACACAAACCCAACCCCTTTTACGGCGGCCGGAGGAGGCCAAGACTGCTTTAGAATCGAAATAGGAAGTCGCCCCACCCTAAATTCCACCCGTTTCGATTTCCAGGCTGCGCATTCTAAGGGTACCTTCTTGGAGCCGCCCTCCTCCTGGCCTTACACGCCCCCTTCAAAAGAACAACCAATCACCTCTTCCAAACACGTTGCTATAGAGACTCTTATCACCACCCATTTTTTTTTTTTTTTTCCCAGCAAGCTGTGCGACGCACCGGGCCTCGTCCCCCTTTGTGCCATCCGGGTCTCTCGCGCGAGCGATTTAGTCTGTGGCGAAGCGTCGGGTCGGCCGGTACTGTTGAGAGCGGCAAGTGGAGGCGCCGCACTAGCGGCAAGGACTCTGGACTATGGCGGTAGGTGCCAACTCTGGGTTTAAAGCCGGGGATGTTTTTCTGCTACTCTCCAAAGAGTGGGTGAACGGCTCCCAGAGCTGTTGTCCGCGCGTGTGTGTGGACAAAATGGCGCCGCGGCCTTTTTCTGCGCCCGCCATCATGGCTGCCTGCTGTAGGGAGGGGGAAATGAGGCGGTGTCGATGGGGGTGGGGAGCCTCAGGGAGTGTCTTTTTTTTTTCCAGAACTTTCCTCATCTTTTTTCCAGCCCTGTATTCTTTCTGACCCACGGACCGGCGTCCAGTTTAGCTTACTCATTGTTAGTGGTTTATATTGAGTTCCATTAGGGCTTGGGAATTTATGTCCGTGTTGGGGAAGGGCTGGGGAAGAGAGAAAAAGCATGCGGGGGGGGGGGGCGGGGGTCTTGGAAAAGTATTGGGTCAAAAAGGCGTTGTCTGTAGTGGATAGAATGGGAAAAGAGTCATAGCAGGTTTTTTTGGTTTTGGGGTTTTATTTTGGTTTGGTTTGGGTTTTTTTGCTTACGCTCAGTAAGATTCTAGTTGCGTAATTTCAGTTAGTGTTTCTCCTGTTAAAACCTTAATTTGTTTTTAGTAAGGACCTGAGGAAGATGCTGCTCAAAAGGAGTAAAAAAAATTCGGCTTAATTACGGGAAGGCTTTGGAGCTACGATTTCTGATTGTTCTGTTTCCGAAGAGGCTCGTGATGTAATCATTTTGAAGTCTTTGAAAAGCATTATAATAAAGCCTTATCGTTGCTGTTGTTTCTTTAAATTTAGGAACCCTGCGTTGACCCGTTTAATTTTAAATAAGAACAATGGTGCTTAAAAAAAAAGTCTGCTTTTGAGTATAAGATGCCCAATTCTGGTGGATCGCGTATTGTGATTACCTCATTTTTACTGAAACTGTTTAAAAAATGCAAGCATTTTGTATTCCTTTCCACTGGAAAGAAAAGTCCTGTTTACTCCTTTTCGAAAACAAGTAGGGCTGTAATCATAACGAAAAATTTATATTTGCTCTTTTATAAAAATTAGGGTTTCTGGAATTAGGATGGTTTCTGCACTCCCCTCCTCCAATGCCTAATTGAATTAACCGATTTTTGATAAGGTTTCAAACAATTGGAAGCCTTTTTTTATGTTTGTGCAACTAATCGATGTAATGTTTTCCTTTGTTTAGTGTTTTGGGCCCCTTAAGGTACTTTAAATAAAGAATAGCATTGTTTTACTTGGGCTCAAATTTAAAAACGAAGCCATTTCAAACATTTGGACCTGCAGTGCCTCGTTCAGTAAAAAGACACAGTCCCCTGGAGAAGTGGCCTAGTATTAGATTCACTGTACCTTCTTTGCACTGGAAAAAGATTTGTGTACTTGGTCTTGAGCGTTATTAGGGTTTACAAAAAGATAAAAATGTTAGGATAACTGGTGGCCTTCTGAAAAAGCAAATGCTAGAGTAGAAGACGGCTTTGCAATTAGCATTTAAGATTCTTACGTACCTCTCTGCTAAATAGAAATAAAGTTAAGAACTTATCAGAGAAATTTTATTCAGTTGGGTTTTGTTTTTGTTTTTTGGGTTTTTTTTTTTTTGGATACTTTTTATTAGGCTATTACTATAAAATAGCCTCATGGAAATAAGGGCCAACTGGCTACTTATCATTCATACCTGTTTAGTGTTAGGACGGTTTTTGTTCTATATATTTTACAGATGTAAATGGCTTTTTGGTGTAAGTTATTAGTTTCTATTACTGGATGTCTTCCCTTATGCCATGGGCATTTGACTTCCCTATTGCCAGGCTTCTGTGATGCACGTAAATAAACTTGACTGAAAACTTGTACTACCTGGGCTAGATGCTGATTTTTCCGTGGAAAGGTCGTTTATAGTTCTAGTCATGATCTCTGAAAAAGTGAATGACGTGCCAGTGGTTCTGCAGCATGCCCCCAAGAGGAGTGATAGCAGTGCTTAAGTTTTTGCAGTTTTACCAAGTGTAAGCTATACTAGCACTTAACATCACAGACATCTCTGAAGTAGCCCATAAGGATAATGATGAGAAGGAGAATTAAAAGAAAATGGGTAATGTGAAAATCATGATTAATTGATACAGCTTGATTTATTAGAAAGTAGAGCACAAAGAGCATCTTAGGGGAGCTTTGCTGTAAGATAAAGTTGAACTCGAATCTATGCGATGAAAGCTTTCACCACAAAAATTTTATGATTCCAGAAATCACCCATACAGAGAAAACTGATGAGACCCTTGAATGATTCTAAGAACCTCTCCAGTAGTTAGTTGTTTCCTTTGTTTGCTTCTTTTTTTTAAACCATTGTCAGAGGCTTAACACATTTATGTCTTTCATCCCAACTAAGCTTGTAAATCTTTCAGCATTTTATTCTTTGAGTCTAGCATTGAGTTTGGCACATCTGTGACTCTTCAGTAAATAGTTGTTGAAATAGTGCAATTTCTCCCCCTTCATTTGTTAAATTACTCCCCTTTTAGTTTACTTGGCATTTGTTTTCTGGACTAATCTTCCTAAAGGAAGGAGAAATTCATTGTCATGTGATTTTTTTTTCCTCCTGCTGAAAATTTATAGTGATTCCCTTTTTATCCAATTCAGATTTTTCTGTAAAGACCATGGTAGTAAGTATTCTAGACATTGTGGACAACATACATTTTCTGTCTGATTTCTTGCTTAATCTTTTTAAAAATGTAAAAACCATTCTTAGGTCAAGGGCCAAATGGTCCACCTTCTGAATACTACTGAAACGGTTTCCCCTGCCTTTTATCAAAATCTGATTTGGGAACAGTTCAGGTTTTAGCTTCTTGAAGCTTTTTTCTATGACTCATTTAAATCAATGTCTTTTTTGTATGATGCTGCTGTTTGTAATTTGGACTGCACAGTTAAACAGCCACAGAAATACTTTTTTTTTTTTTTCTAACTGGAAATTAGTAATAAGAATTCATTTGTTTGATTGCTGTGCTGAGTAGTTTGTTATGATGAGCAAGGCAGGTGAAATTGTCTTCTATAAACTGGAAAACAATACTGATATTTAGATGAAAAAATCTAAGGACTCTTTGGAAAGTATACGTACAATTTAATTTTTTTTAATTGCATTGTGAAAATTTATAAAATGCTTTAAAGCAGAAACAACTTAATGTTTCCATAGCCCAGAGCATATGTGAGGAGAGGCAGACCATATTTTGCAGCAGCACTGTGCCAGGGGGCTGTTTTCATTAAAGAGGGTTAATGAAATTAAGATTGGGTTCTCAGATAGGTAAGTTAATTTTCTGTTTATTTTTTTATAATCTAGAAGCAGTCTCTCTGCTGTTTTCTTAGATTTTACAGACTTGAGTCTCTAAATTTTACCAACTTATTTTAAATGCTTTTTTAGTGTATGCTATTTTAAAATAAGCATATTGGTAAAGTCAGGTAAATGACTTCACAAATCTGAAATGGTCTGTATTTTTTCTGTTTGAATGTATGTTCTTTGAAAATACTTGGAGCCCTCTTCTTCCCCCGTTTTTAAAGTTATGAAAATAAGGATTTTTTAAAGTTAAAGACATCAGTCTAATCATATATATTTTTGTTACTGGGTTAGTCATTTCAATTTATTTAGGTTTATCAGGTACAACGAATAGGTACTTAGAAATTAGCCGTCTGATTTATTGATTTTTTTTTTTTTAACTCAAGGATCATTCTCTTCCCTCCCTTTCTTTTAAGAAATTGGAACATTTTAAATGTAATTAAGAACTTATAATCATTTTTCTTTAAACTTCTAGGCTAGTGACACAGAGCGAGATGGACTAGCCCCAGAAAAGACATCCCCAGATAGAGATAAGAAAAAAGAGCAGTCAGATGTATCTATTTCTCCTAGAGCCTCAAAACATCATTACTCAAGATCACGATCAAGGTCAAGAGAAAGAAAACGAAAGTCAGGTATGAGTTGTTGGAACTGTAACTACCACTATCAGCATTTGTTATAATCCATTTAGATGTGTGTGTAAAACATACATTTAGTTTTTGATAACAATTAATGTTTTTTTCCCCCAATTGAGAAATGAATAAAAGTACATTGGTGATTTTCTGGAGAATTTTTTAATTATGAAAAACATAAATGTCTTCATGGAGAAATTTATAACTTCTTCAAAGGCAAATGTGTGTGTGTATATATATATATACACATATTTTTCAAAAATGTGTTTTTATGTCACAAAAATTACTTGTGTCACAATAATTATTTGTCAACCCTGAGATGTTTAAATTTCATTTTTTCAACATTGGGAAAATGTTTTTGAAAGCTGTGGTCTGGGCAGTGGTATGTTTTTCTGGAGTTCTTTAACATGCTTTG